TCATGGACTTTTCCTGCCTGGGCTGGCTTTGAACCTCAATCCTCAGATCTCAGCCTCCTGAGTAGCTAGGATTACAGCTTGAGCCACTGGTGCCCAGCTTATTTTGGTAGTTTTATACCTACATATGTATGTTTTTATTGAATTGTAAATGGTATTGCTTTTTTTTTTTTTGTCAGTTGTTGGGCCTGAACTCTGTTCCTGGGCGCTATCCCTCAGCCTTCAGCTCAAGGCTTGTGCTCTACCACTTGAGCCACAGCACCACTTTTGGCTTTTTCTGGTTATGTGGTGCTGAGGAATGAACCCAGGGCCTCATGCATGCAAGGAAAGCATTCTACCACTGAGCTACCTTCCCAACCCAGTATTGCATTTTTAAACTCATAATTTTTGATATCATGAAAGTAATTGACTCTATGTATATTAGCTTTATTTTCTGCAACCTTGTTATACTTGCTTATTAGTTCTAGAGGTATTTTTGTCAGTTCATTCAGATTCTCTGCATAATCATATCATCTATGAACAAAGAAAAGTTTCATTTTTCCTTTCGAGTATGTATATCTTTTATTTATTTTTATTGTCCTATCTTAGCTGAGACTTCCAGGACGATGCTGAAAAGGGGACAGAAATATATCTTATGATCTCATTTCTCTGACAGACCTAAGATTGTTGGTTTTTCAGTTTGTTCTGGGTTTTTCTTGTTAGGATGAAGTGGTGCCTTCCGTCCTGTTTATGTGACAGATCCTCTCAAGTTTTTTTAACAACTCCAATTCTAATTTAATGGAGGCAATAGAAAATCAAAACATTGTAATATATTTTAAATATCTTTATGACATTAATATTGGCAAGATTTGTTAAAACAAGACAGTAACCATAAAAGATAAAATATATAAGAGAAATACATTCTACTAGTTAAAGTTAAGACATGGCACAGTTGAGGGTAGCTCCATTGAGACAGATGATTGTTTATTCACATGGCTAACAAAGCTGTTAACTTTTTTTCCACACAGACTTCTCCAAAATGTAGCTTGGGCTGCCTCATACCATAGGGGCAAGCTAGGTTCTAAGAGCAAGTGTTTTCAAGATATAGTAGAGGCTACCATTTTCTTAATGCCTAAGCCCCAAACTTCCTATTGTCCCAAGCTTCCATCACATCATTTCTACCATATTCTATTGATCAGTCAGTCACACAGTCCAGATTAATGAGGAGGGGTTCCTGTATGCACTGTATGCATAAACATTTTAGCTTATCACTTACCTTACATTTAATCACCGGATATGTCAAGGCAGGTGATGCTTCTATTATTTTCTTTGGGAAACTTAACTATTTCATTCAGTCATCTGACACATTTACTATTTTCATGTCCTATAAGCAAAAGTCTCATCAAATTGATGGGCATTTCCTAGCAAATGTCTCCTCTCCTTATCTTCCAATAGATTTTCCATATTTTCCTTTAAACATTCAATGACAGCCTCCTGGAGAACCATTAGGCTTCCATCAAAAACCTTTCAAAGAAGCAGGAGTTATATATCTATCTTTTCATAGCCACTTATCACTTTTCATTATTCGCCTTATTTCTCTGAGTTTTTAGTGATTTCAGTAGAATAATTGAATTGCCTGACATGGAAATCCTAACTAGTTCTTTTTTTTTTTTTTTTTTATTGTAAAGCTACTATACAGAGGGTTACAGTTACATGAGTGAGGTTATGAGTACACTTCCTCTTGAACATTGTTACCCCCTCCATTGTTTTCCCCCTACCATCCCCTCCCTCCCTCCCTTCCCCGAGGTTCTTTTTTTTTTTTTTTTTTTTGATTGTGATTAAATGATTACATAATTTCAAAGTCACAAGTTCATTCTAACTTCCCTGGAGCAAATTGTCTACCACAGTCTGTAATATATAACAGTGTTCACATGTTATATACCATATTTGTGATCAGCAGCATGAGGATATTTAGTAGTGGTTCAACCAGATAAGCGGGAGTTCTTTGTTTCTTAAGTCCTGTTAGTTTTGTCGTATCACCTAACCTTTTGGATTTAGCATCCACTTATGAGGGAGACCATGTACCGTTTGTCTCTTCGTTCTTGGCTTACCTCGCTCAACATGATTCCTTCTAGCTCCATCCATTTCCCTGCAAATGCCATTATTTTGTCATTTCTAATGGCTGCATAATATTCCATTGTGTATAGATACCACAATTTTTGGATCCATTCATCTGTGGTGGGGCACCTAGGTTGTTTCCATATCCTAGCTATTGCGAACAGTGCTGCAATAAACATGGAGGTGCACGTGTCCTTGTATATTGGTTCCTGTTCAGGGTAGATGCCTAGAAGTGGTATGACTGGGTTGTAAGGGAGGTCAATCTTTAGCTTTCTAAGGACCCTCCAGACTGCTTTCCAAAGTGGTTGTATAAGTGTACATTCCCACCAGCAGTGTAATAGGGTTCCTCTTTCTCCACATCCCCTCCAGCATTTGTCGTTGGCTGATTTGTGGATGTGGGACATTCTGACTGGGGTAAGGTGGTATCTCAGGGTTGTCTTTATTTGCATTTCCTTCACCACCAGGGATGATGAACATTTCCTCATGTGTTTCTTTGCCATTTTTATTTCTTCATTTGAGAAGTCCCTCTTTAGTTCCCTTGCCCATTTAGTAATTGGTTTGTTAGGTTTGGGAGGGATTAGTTTCTTGAGTTCCCTGTATATACAGGATGTTAACCCCTTGTCTGATATATTGCTGGTAAATATTTTTTCCCAATTAGTTGGTTGTCTTTCTAGCTTAGTTGCGATAGATTTAGCTGTGCAGAAGCTTTTTATTTTAAGGTAGTCCCATTTGTCGAGTCTCTCTCCAACTTGTTGTGACCCTGGGACTCTGTTCAGGAAGTTCCTTCCTGTGCCTATTAGTTCAAGTGTCTCTCCTACTCTGTCCTGCAGTAGTTTCAGAGATTCAGGTTTAATGTTAAGGTCTTTAATCCATTTTGAGTTGATGTTGGTGCATGGTGATAGGCTGGGGTCCACTTTTAGTTTTCTGCATGTGGCTGCCCAGTTTTCCCAGCACCAGCGGTTGAAGAGGCTGTGTTTCTTCCATTGTATGTCTTTGGCTCCTTTGTCGAATATCAGCTGGCTGTAGGCCTGTGGATTTATATCTGGATCTTCTATTCTGTTCCATTGGTCTTCGGGTCTGTTTTTGTGCCAGTACCATGCTGTCTTTGTGATTATAGCTCTGTAGTAGAGTTTGAAGTTCGGCATGGATAGCCCTCCCATATTGTCTTTATCCCCTAGAATTGTTTTGGCTATTCTAGGTCTTTTGTTGTTCCATATAAATTTTTGGACTGTTTTCTGTATTTCAGTGATGTACGTCATTGGGATTTTAATAGGAATTGCATTGAATTTGTATATTAGTTTTGGAAGTATCACCATCTTTACTATATTAAGTCGGCCTATCCAGGAGCATGGGAGGTCTTTCCATTTCCTAGTGTCTTCTGCAATTTCTTTCTTTAACTTTTTATAGTTCTCATTAAATAGTTCTTTTACATCTTTGGTTAGGTTAATTCCTAAATATTTTATTTTTTGGGAGGTTATTGTGAATGGGGTTGCTCCCTTTATTTCCCTCTCTTCCTGTGCGTTATCAGTGTATAGGAAGGCAACTGATTTTTGTGGCCTAACTAGTTCTTAACAGACTTCAACTTATCTTTTTTTAGATCCACTTTACAATCAACTCTAGAGGCACCTATTTTGCCTACACTTCTCATAAACTAGGAGATGAAACACTTGCCATTCTCTATTCCTGCTTTAGAGATTCCAGCTTTTCTGAGTCTGATAATTCAGTTGCTACTTTTCCAGTGCTGTCCAATTTCCTGAATTTTATTGCTTGTTCTTGTTATCTGGCTTAATAGCTTCAGAAAAAAACAACTAAATGTACATATTAAATTTATCTTGATTGTAGTTTTCATTTCTTTGCTTTTTCTCCTATTTCCTTCTCCATTCCACCTGTCTGCTTTCTATTTTCCATTTTCTTCTCTCCAGGTTGCTTTTCCTCAAATTACAGCTATGAAAGTGGTGATTACTCAGAGAACATTTAGTTTGTTTAACCCCCTTATCTTACATATGGTGAACCTGACAGACAAAAAGAATTGTAGACCAACCACCCACAGTCCACATAGCCACTGCCCTGGTAGTGAAGGGGTAGGCCCTCCTACCCCTTCAGTAAATGCAAGAAAGAACAGCATTCCCATTAGTAGAGGCCTGAAAGCAGACCAAGGGAGAAGAAACATCTCCACTAAGAACTGCCTGAATCTCTTGTGTTCCTACCCCTTGACCCCACAGGGCTGCAATCAGGAGGGTACCCAGCTGCCTAGACAGGAGAACTGGTCAAATAAAAGAACAAAGATATGAGACTATTTTTTCTCTTTTTTTTTTTTTTCTCTTTTTTTTTTTCTACAGTCTTTGAGCCTGAGTGTTGATGTAGACAATAACAAAAGAACTCTTAAGTCTTAACAGAAAGCAAAGGCAAGTGACTAATGATGTGATTATTCTAAGCCTGGTGTCAGGCATACAAATACACAAGTGCACTCTTGCTAATATTGCTGTTGCCCCAGGTCTTTGCATATATAAGGTGAGAGGCACCAAAAACATGTGAGGTAACCAAGTATAGAAAATGGAAGCACATACACCTGGGACCTTGTTTAGATGATCTTTTCAGAGCTCAGAAAACAAAGTTCAAAATCTGTTCGTTGGGTTTTGGTCTGAGCTGCTGTCCCAGCAGACTGTTCCAGAGCCCTTTGTCATGCAACTTGAATTGGAGGCAACCGAGCTCAGCCTTTTCTAGACACCTGTACCCTACCCTTTATCCCCACAGCATTAAAGCAACTTAGCTACTGGGAATTCCCATGAAGGCCAGAGCCCAGAGTGTAGTAGGTTAAAGAGGACTATCTTCTAACGTCTCTACCCCAAGCACTCTTGGACTATCTTCTAACTCTCTGATTCTACAAGGTTTCTTGTCTTCTATAGTTTGTGTCTACTTGAACAAGAACGGCAGCACAGGCCCCCACTTAGATAAGAAGAAGGTCCAGCAACTCCCTGACCATTTTGGGCCAGCCCGTGCCTCAGTAGTATTGCAGCAGGCTGTGCAGGCTTGCATCGACTGTGCTTACCACCAGAAAACTGTCTTCAGCTTCCTCAAACAGGGCCATGGCGGCGAGGTCATCTCAGGTAAGTACCTTTGTGTTGGTATGGATTCCTGGCTAGAAGGGCAGGCCTTCTCTACTAGCTGATTTTTGATAAAATGTTCTGGTTCTTATTTTACACCTATAGGCACTGGAGAAATGTGAGAGTATTCTATTCCTTAGGTCCTCATTTTCAACCTCCAAGTTCCCTGAGCCTTATATACCTTTGCCAAGAATATCAAGCAGACTCTGCCCCTCCTGTCTTTTTTTTCTTTTGGTGGGTCATGAGGCTTGAACTCAGGGCCTACGTACTGTCCCTGAGCTCTTTTGCTCAAGGCTAGTGCTCTTCCACTTTGAGCCATATCATCACTTCCAGTTTTTGAGTGGTTAATTGGAGAGTCTCTCAGGGACTTTTCTGCCCAGGCTGGTTTCAGACTACAATCCTCAAATCTCAACCTCCTGAATAACTAGGTTACAGTCATGAGCCACCAGCACCTAGCCCCATTCTAGAGGAAGAAACCAGAGCAGCTGTGTGGTGGTGGCAAGATTTTCTCTAGACAGTTACAGTCTCCCACTGGCTTTATAGAACTTCTGAACTCTTTTCTCATTCTTTTGACTCCTTAGCATTACTTAGCACCAAGTCCCACACAAGGAATCTGAATCTCAGATCAGAAAAGCATCATTCCCTTTTTCTTTCCTGCTATGAAAACTTGAACAGCATAGTGATTTTAGCTCTTTCTGAAAATATTCACTTTCCATTTTTGTGTCACTTTTCCTAAGCCCCAAATCCTATTCTTTTATCCATCAAATCTCTAAAGGCAGAAAGGAAACCCAGTTGACATGGGAGATCCTATAAATAACCAAACAGTTCCTCGTTAAGGAACACTTACTTATTCTTTACTGAATGTCAGAGCAATAACCAGCCAGACACTGGTGGGAAAGAGGGAAAAGCAGAGATAATAGGTTTACAACTGTATCAGTTAAAAAAAAAAATCTAGCCAGGCACCAGTGGCTTACGCCTGTAATCCTAGTTACTCAGGAGGCTGAGATCTGAGGATCATGGTTCAGAACCAGCCCGGGAAGGAAAGTCCGTGAAATTCTTTTTTTTTGGGTCCAGTCGTGGGGCCTGAACTCTGGGCCTGGGTGCTGTCCCTCAGCTCTTCAGCTCAAGGCTAACGCTCTACCACTTGAGCCACAGCACCACTTCCAGTTTTTTTCTTTTTGCTTATATGGTGCTGAGGAATCAAACCCAGGGCCTCATGCATGCAAGGCAAGCACTCTATCACTGAGCCACCTTCCCAGCCCCACCATGAAACTCTTACCTCCAATAAACCACCAAAAAGCTGGAAGTGGCGCTATAGCTCAAGTGGTAGAGTTCTAGCCTTGAGCTGAAGAGCTGAGGGACAGCGCTCAGGCCAGAGTTCAAGCCCCATGACCAACAAAAAAAAAAAATCTAAACAGAAAACTATGAGAAATATTATAATAGAGAAATGGTGTGGAACTGAGGCAGATTTAAGGAGTTAATTGGCTGTATATGGAGGATGTAGCAGACAGAGAGAATTATGACAGAAGGCTAGCAACTGAGTAAGCCTATATCCCTTTTGAGATCCAGGCTTGGACTCTCCTTTGCAACAGTCTTCAGGGACTGGGCTTTGTTTACTACCTCTAGTTGCTTTCACCTCTACCTCTGCCCCAGGATATCTCCTCTGCCTCAAAACTCGTTCCTGAGAGTGACCTTTCTCACCCTTTTGCTTTTTTATTTATTTTAATAGAAATAGGAAATAAAATAAAATGAAGCATAAAACATTTCTAAACGTTGCCAGAATTCTAATTCTAGTACATACGTGTGTGTGTGTGTGTGTGTGTGTGTGTGTGTGTGTGTGTGTGTGTGTGTGTGTGTGTAAAGTTGTGAGTTGTGTAGCCAAACTACTATTGCTGGCAATAGCTTTGTTTTCCTCTTCAGTTCTTGATCAGTTCTTGTGAAAACAGCACCCTAAATGAGCATAGTTCCTGGAAGAAGCCCAGCCAAGTGATGGAACAGATAGAATTATGTTCACAGTTGTTTTCACAAGTTGAGTGAAATCATTCCAGAGCCCTGCAGGCACAGCAAACCTGGGCTGGCCACTCCCATTATTGCATGCCCTTTGGAGTTGGAGGCAAAAATCAAAACCCTCAAGGGAGGGAGGGTACTACAGGGAGGTAGCCAGCCTGAGTGTTCATTGCCTTTGTGTGACCAGGTAAGCGCTTTGACCAACAGCAGGCTGTGCTCCTTCTGCCCTGTGTTGCACTTTGCTATGCTGACTGCTGACATGCATGGCTCTGTTTACTTAACTCCACAGCCGTGTTTGACCGAGAACAGCATACTCTCAACCTCCCAGCAGTCAACAGCGTCACCTACGTCCTCCGCTTCCTGGAGAAGCTCTGCCACAATCTTCGGAGTGACAATCTGTTTGGCAACCAGCCTTTTACGCAGACTCACTTATCTCTCGCTGCCACAGAGTACAGCCACAGCCACGACAGGTACCTACCAGGTAGGAGCTGGGACGGGGCCTAAACTCAGATGGGGATAGGACTGGAAGCAGTACCTGCTGGGACTCAGGGCCAGCCCTCAGGCCTGTCAGTCTGACGGAAATCTGTTTTTTCTGTCCCTTACCTTTGCCACATCTGCAACACCTCTGAGACTTTTTGGTCTCCTGTTATCTTTACTGTCTTTAGGATTTCATTGTCTTATCTATTGGATTATTCTTCTTTCCAGTTGACCCTTATCTTTAGAAACTGGCTTATGATTCCCTTCTAAGCTTCAAGTCACATGTGGAGCCCCCCATGAAGTCACAATATATTTCCCAGTGTGAAGCTGGTGCCAGAGGCCTAATATAGCCTCTCCCTTGCCAGCAGGAAGGTTTAGTTTTAGGCTAGAGATTGAGAAACTTACTCCCTAGTGATTGGCCATCTGTTCTTGCCTTTGGCATATAGCCCTAATTCTTCCAGCATTGCCAGTCTAGCAAGTCAATTCAAGTTCCTGCTGTTTCCAACGAGGCTGGAAAATATCTTTGTTAGTTAACATACCAGACCCACAATGGGAAAGCGGATGCCACGTGGCTGAGTCAGTGACTAAGCACTTCCGAGAGAGCTTAAAGAGTGAATGGAGCTCGGCATCTCTAATCTGGAGTACAGGACACAGAAGAGAAGGAGAGAAGGAAAGCTTGGCCCTAAATATAGTGAGGTAGGTTGCTATTGAGAGGGCGGGCTGGCTCTTTAAAGAGACCTGTGAGCTGTGGCCTGAGTAGAGGAGCAGAAAAGAGGTACTGTCAGCCTGGGCCTGCACTGTCTGCATGGGAGACCATGCATCTGAAGTGTGCCACTGCAACCTACACAAGGTTCACACCCATGCTCCCTTCTCTGTCATCTGTTATCATAGTCTGCATGGAATGGCTTCCAATTAAGGTGCCACTTCTGCAGAATGGGCTCAGAATGATGACTATTCACCCATTTCCCTTCTCCCTTGCCTCTTCTGTACTTCTGTACCCAATTAAGCATTGCTGTGTGACTTGTGGATGGAGGAAAGAAAGATAGATGAATTCCACATACTCTGTGGGAAGGTCAGGCCATGTGGTCCCTACAACTATACCCATGTACTCTCCTGGCTGGAATTCTCTAAAATACTTTCTATCAGTATCAGAACATCTGAGAACAGACCTGCAGAACAGACCTGGACATGGTGTGATTGGTATAGATAAAAGCAAGTTGTTAAATATTTCTAGCCATTGGAATTTGGGAACTCTGAGCTAGAATTCAAGAATAAAAATTTAGGCCTACTTGGGATTCTGAAAGCCATGATACATTAGAGGGAGTGGCATGTCCATGAGGGCAGCTGTTAATTAGAGATTTCTTAGAGAAATAGGAACTTGCATTTCATTGTTTATTTTCTCAGTGCTGGGGTTTGAATTCTGCTTGCTAGGCAGGTGCTCTACCCCGGAGGAACTTAGAATTTTTTTTTTCTTTTTCAATCCTGTTTGAATCCAGCCCACATGCTATGCCAGACTACAATGCAGTGCATGAACTAGTTAGCTTCAGTATCACTTTCTCTCCTTTTCAACCACCAAGACCAGTGTTCAGATCCAATGGGAAATGGAAGAAGGTTCCGAATTTTAATTTAATACTGTCATTAAGGAATAGAGAAAACATACACTCATAGCAGCATTCAGTGATTGATCAGCACCTGGGCATCATAGGCCTGCAGTCATGAAACTAGTTTGGAATTTGAGGCATCACTTTTTCTGGAAATTCTGTTCCAGTTTATATCTCTATAATTCACCCAGCTTCAGCCAGATTCTTCCTGCCTCACCCACTAAGAAAAGACAAGGTATAGTGGTATCACTTTCTGTCTCTGGCTTCCACCATTCCTTGTTCCCATTTCCAGACAGATTGTTCCAATTTCAAGTCCTACTCTGCTCTGAAAACTTGGTTTTTCATGGTCAGCACACAATATATTGATCTACTCCCATAATGTCTTCTATTTACTTCCCAGAATATGTTTTAACTGTGCCCAGACAAGCCAGAGACTTGCCTGGACTTCTGACTACTCTCTACTTCATACTTTTCTTTCCTGCCCACTTACTTGTCTGCTGCCTGGTTTACTGACCCTTTGCCTCTGATATTTTGTCAGCTCCTATGTTTTTCTGCTTGCTTCCTTACCTGACTTCTGCTAATGAGCTCAATCTATTCAATAGCTGTCTTTCACCTTCTGCTTTGGATCTGATATTTACCACTCCTGCACATATGCCTGGTTACACACTCCTAATAGTCTAACATCCATAGGTACTGCTTCTGTTTTTAGGTGCTTCCTGGAGCCTTCTCCCCTCCCTCCTGCCTTGTAAGACACTACCCTACACCTACAGCTATCACTCATCTGTCTACATGCACTTGATAATATGACACATAGCCACCAGAAGTTCAGATAGATATTATCTTTACCTAAGTGGAGACTTAACTTTTTTCATTGTTTTATTTTGAAAGCTTTCAAACCTACAGAAAAAGATCAAAAAAAAAAAAGTTCAGTGAGCAACTATGTACCCTTTACCTAGATTTATCACTTATTATTATTAGTGTATATTACTTGTACAAAAGATTATGCCATGATATTTTACATATGCATATAATAGACATTAACCCCTTCTTTTGCTCTCTTTTCATCCTCTTTCCCCACTACTTTTCAAAAGCTTTCAGTGGGTTTCTTTATGCCATCTTCATACATAGATACAATGTGTTTCAGTATTGTTTACCTTCCTTCATTCTCTTTTCCTCTCACCCTTTCCTTTGTCTCCCCTTCAGCCAGTCTTATAATTACAGTCATGCTTTATAAATTTATTTTTTTTTTTTTTGTTGGTCGTGGGGCTTGAACTCTGGGCCTGGGCGCTGTCCCTCAGCTCTTCAGCTCAAGGCGAGCGCTCTACCACTTGAGCTACAGCGCCACTTCCGGTTTTCTGGTGGTTTATTGGAGATAGGAGTCTCACGGTCTCTCCTGCCCGGGCTGGCTTTGAACCGCGATCCTCAGATCTCAGCCTCCTGAGTAGCTAGGATTACAGGCATGAGCCACCAGCGCCCGGCTGCTTTATAAATTTATATGTACATATATTCATAAATACATATTAATATATTAGGGACAGATTCTTTGAATGAAAGAAAACACATGAACTTTATTTTTCTGAACCTAGATTACTTAGCTTAACATTATGATCTCATTATACAAATGACATAATTTCATTTTTTACTGCGTGTGTGCAGGCACATACACATACACACACACACACACACACACACACACACTCACACATGCATGCTACTACTAGAGATTGTACTCAGGGCCTTGTGATCTCACTTAGCTTTTTTGCTCAAGGCTGATGCCCTACCATTTGAGCCACACTTCCACTTTTAGCTTTTTGGTTAATTGTAGATAAGAGTCTCACAGACTTTTGTGCCCAGGCTGGCTTCAAACCATAATCCTCAAATCTCAACCTCCTGAATAGCTAGGATTACAAATGTGAGCCACCAGTGCCCAGCTAATTCCATTCTTTTTTTATGGCTGCATAATAATTCCATTGTGCATGCATACATTCACTTTATACATTCATCAACTGACTAGACTGATTACATAGCTTAGTTATTGTGAGTAGTGCTGCACTAAACGTAAGTGCACTTTTTTGCAATAGTTCCTTTATCTTTCTAAGTACATATACATACATTTGTATCTGTATATTTCATATACATATTTGTATTGGGTTTTTGTTTATTTACTGAGCTGAGAGTTAACTGCAGATGAAAATTTATCTTCAACTACTTCTGTGTTTAGCTCTTAAAAATAAGGAGCACAAAACTCCAGTGTAGTTGTACATGGCTGTGAGCCTAGCATTCAGAGGCAGAGGACTACATACTGAAACCCAGAGTAAATTATATATTGAAACCTTTTCTCAAACCCTCCCCTAAGCTCAAAAAAAAAGGAATAAGGGCACAATACTATTATTATACTTAAGAACCTTGACATAAATAAAATACTAGTGACTGATATATAGTCCGTATCAAAATTTCCCTCAGTTGTCCCAATAATGTCCTCTTATAGAGCTGTTTCATTTTTTCTAATCCAGGATCCAAGAAAGTATTGTCTGCTGCATTTCATTGTCTCATCTCTTTATCTTCCTTGATCTAAAACAGTTCTCTAGGCTGGCTGCTGGTGACTCACACCTGAATCCTAGCTAGTCAAGAGGCTGAGATCTGAGAATCATGGTTCAAGCCAATCCAGGCTAGAAAGTTTCTAAGACTCTTATCTCCAGTTAATCACCAAGCTGAAAATAGAGCTGTGGCTCAAGCAGTAGGGTGCTCAACTTGAGCTCAAAAGCTCAAGGACAGCACTCAGGCCCTGAGTTCAAGCCTTGGGATCAGCACAAAAGAAAACAAAAAGTTCCCCAGTCTTTTCCATCTTCTATCATATGCATTGGTATTTTGAAGGATCCAGCCTAACTGTTTTGGTTTAGATCACCCTGCTGCTTCTATACTAGCCTCTGGGAAGACAAACAGCACAGTCTCAGTCTCTGTATCCAAAGAACTGAAATGGGGAGAGATATGTGAACATGTATGCTAGGTTAAGTTGGAACCTTTAGGGCTCCCTAAAATATTGGTAATGTTAGGCAGAAAACTGATTTAGCTGGGCCCAGTGACTATTAATTTTAACTATAACTGAAATCTTTCACCCATTAACCTCTACCTCTGTTGTTCTGAGATTTTTCTGGGTTCTTCTCTGCAAGTGATTCACTTGTTCTAGAACAATGAGTTCCTTTTGCTTTTCTTTCTAACTTCTAGAAGTGGTTCTCCTGCCAAAATCTCAAGACACACAGAGATAAACATCAAATAAGAACTGTGAAGTCTTTTAGGGTACCCCTTATCACCACAGGTTTTCTCATACATTTTCTCAGACATTTTAGGTGATTCTTGTATTCATAGTTAACTGAAGCACATAATTACATATGACACATAATTACTTCCCTCATAACTGGACTCTTCTTCATACCAGCTTATACATCATGTTGTCAGGGAGACCTTCAGTTGTCCATATTTAAGAAGAGACTCCTGATATTGTCTTCTGAAAATTGTGTTTCTTTCCTTCATAATATTTACAATGTTCCAGTTTTTAATCATCCTTTCCATTTAACTGTGTCAGGAGGAGAAAGACAATCTCCTAGGATTTTTTGTTGTTGTTGTTGTTGTTTTGCCATTCTCACTATCACTTTAAGTCAAATGGTAAACAGATGTATTATCTTTAAGTAGTTATACAAAGGGGTTTCAATCCAACATGTCAATCTGTGAGTGCAATTGCATCTTGACCAATGTTCCCCTTTTCATCATTCTTCCCCATCTCTCCCAACCCTACCTATCCCCATATGCTAAGCCTTTAAATAGTATTTTCTGGATGAGAGGGCATCAGACGATGTGGAACATGTGTTCAGATAAAGATGTTCTTCAACACAGGAGTATCTGCACTATGCACAAAGACTAACTATCCTAGTGCCAGGAGTTTCCTAGGTGGGAAGAGTGGGGTGACTCAGATCAAGATGCTTTGTACACACAAATAGACACGTTAAATTGAAACAACTAAAGATTATTTTTTAGTTCTTAAAATTCACAATTCTGACTTCATGTTTACTTAGTTCACACTCAGGACTAAGCTTGGTTGTGAGCATAGAATCCATGAAACTCTAAAGTAAAAGTGCTCTAGAAATGATCTAGCAGTTATCTGACCTCTGCTTTGAGATTCCCAATGACATATTGCTCTCTTTTGGCTTATAGCACTTAATTTTATTGTTAAGACAGTTCTGATGGCTAACATGTCTTTTTTACCTGGAATATGCCTTCTTATAACTCCTAGCATCTGCATTCCTACAGAACAAATCAAAATCTCTAGTCCTCTTTCCTTCCTAGGCTGCCCTTAAGGTATTTGTCTCCCATGACTTTCCTCCACTTTTTTTTCCTTTTTTCCTTTACCATGATCTCAATACTCCTTACCATCATGTTGGCCCACCTTCCACTAGGAATATTCGTCTCTCAAGTCTGCTTTGCAGTGGGATTCTCTGAGAACAGCTGTTTCTTACTATTAACAGGGCAGTGCTTTCCTGCTTACGTACTTAGCAGAGTGGAAGCACAGTATTCAACTTTGAGCAACACTCAGTCACTATACTGGTTTCTGCCTGTTTTCAGGCATGACCTGGATGTGGAAACATCAATGTAGAATTCCCTTTTCAAAGATCTTTATGACCATTCACTTTTAATATTTATAGACCCATTGGAAGGCTTCCAACAGGCTTCCCATGGTTTAATGAGTAAATTGAGGTTTTTTGAGAATTCTCTGATGCATGCCAGAGCCAAATTCTAGCCTGCTCTCCATGCCCAACTCTCCCCAGCATTTATTCCAAGCTTCTTTGGAATGTTTGTATAGAACAAGGTAATTACAAATAGAGGGGTAGATCCTTTACAGACATTTCTTTAACTAGGCATCAAGAAGCACTTTTTTTGTCTGTCATAGGGCTTGAACTCAAGGCCTGTGTGCTGTTCCTGAACTTTTTTCTCAAGGCTAGTACTCCACCACTTGAGTCACAGCTCCACTTCCATTTTTCTGATGGTTAGTTGGAGATGAGCCTCATGGAATTACCTGTCTATGCTCGCTTTGAGCTTCAATCTTCAGATCTCAGCCTCCTGAATAGCTAGGATTACAGGCATGAGCCACCAGCAGCTGGCGGAAGAAGCATTTCTAATATGTTCTACTGGTTGATGAAAACTGTCTGGTTGATGAAAGTGTCTACTTGTAAAAGGCCCTCATCTGGGCAATGATTCCTTCTCCACCAGCTAGCATCTTGCAACTAAGGCAATCTCTTCTACTCTAGAGTCACTCCAGTTTTTTTCTTAATTTTTCCTCATCATGATAAAGCCTAGAACATCCAGACCTGGAAAAACGCAGTGACTATCCAGTGTAAGAAATTTCTAAAGAAACATAAATCCAGAGTCCAGAGGGGGGCGGGGGGAAACAAATCTGAACTTGGTAAAGTCACCTAGTAAAAGCCAGAGCCATGACTGATATACAGGTCTCTAGAGCAAGGCTTTCTTAACTGCCTCTTGCTTCACTCAGAATGTATCTGGGAATCAGCATTCTAGTAGGGCTTCCATCCTGCTCTAATCCTGGTTTTATTGTTTTTCAGGTGAAACCTTTGACCTGAGGAATAGTCTGGCACGATCCTTGGAGCCACACTCAGACTCAATGGATTCTACTCTGAATCCCACCAACCTTATCCGTACCTCCTCAAATCTTCGAGCACCTGGGTATGGACCCTTAATTCCCTCCTGTGGCCTCCCACCAAGTACCACCTCAGCTGTGCGCAGGCTATGTTCCAGGGGTAAGCTGACCCAGAGTTCTGGCCCCCTTCCATCCCTTCCTTTTTCCTTCTGTTCTCTCTAAACTCTAGGAGGCCAGGGGAACTTAGCCCTGATGTTTCTTTGCATGCTGTGCCTGACCAGGAGTAAATGGGAGCTCCAGAATTAGCTTGAGAATAACAAACTAAGAGCCAGATATCAGAAGCCAAAAGAGACAAGGAAGGATTCATTCCTTCATTCAACCATTTATTGAAACACCAAGTATATTTGGCTCAGTAACATAAAAATCATTTTTCCTTAATGACTTGTAGGGGAAAAAAAAAACCTTAAAAAGACAATTGTGAAAAGTTCAATACAAAAACATGGATTATATGAAACTTCAGGAAGGGATAGCCAACCTTCAAGAGATACTTCCTTGAGGAGAGACACCTTTTCTGAAACTCAATGAATGACTGTATCTGGTGGGAAAAGAGTGAAAGTTTTCCAGGAAGAAAGGACTCAAGAAGTACTCCTGTGGTACCAGAACTGCAAGCAGTTTGGTATGGTTAAAGCAAAATGGCATAACAGGACTTCACAGAAAATCCTAGAAATCCCAGAGTTCATAATCATGGAAAATCTTAAATTTCATGCTAAACAATTTGGAGTTGATCTTGCAGGCAATGGGAAGCTACCAGAGGCTTTTAATTAGAAGCAAGGCATAAACATGTTTGTGTTTTGTATAGACCACTAACTTCTAGTTTGAGCATAGACTTAAGGAGGGACAAGACTAGTAAGGCCAGAAATGATAAAGGCCTAAATTAGGGAAATGGTAAAAGTTGTGAGGAAGAGAAGATAGATTTAATAACTTCTTTCAAGGCAAATTAGATCTGAAGATTGTCAGAGGCCATGTTTGGAGATTGTTTGGCCTCTTTACAAGAGCTATGGTGGTTTCTTTCCATTTCTTCCTCTTCTTCCTCCTTCTCCTCTTTCCCCACCCCCAATTCCAGCCTCAGTATTCCTTTCTTGATATTTGGGTAAGTTATCTCACCTCTCAGGTCTTCTCCAGATGGAAAACGTCCCTCATGTGAAAATTGGAAATGCTGATACCAACCTGGTCTTTCCACAGGAGTGTTAAAAGGCTCAAATGAAAGAAGGGATGTGGAATCGTTTTGGAAATTAAGTCATTCCCCAGGTAGGCAAGGCGTCATTGTGATTGTCATCTTCTACAAGGCTTTTTCTGATAGAGTGCTTTGTGCCAGATCTTCTGTTATGACACTGGCCGCAGAAGGCACTGTAGTCTCCTAGGCTCCTTTGAAACACATTGAGTCTTTCTGCCAGATCACAATATAATCTCTCTTTAATCTGAACAACTTCTAAGAAACTGATTGGCCCTGAATTATTTGTCTTAAAAAATTCAGAGGTTTGCATCTGCCCTCTTTCTTATTTAATTAATCCAGGAAATTAAGCATACTTTTTGTAGTCTAGTCTTTTATGGAGGTGCCTCACCTGCCTTAGTCACTCTCAGATGAAAGAATCTGCTTCCTTTTTGTTAGTTATACACATAGGTGGGAGGAAGGCCATAGGAGGGCCTGCTCCGAAGATACACTAATTAGCCAAGCTCTTGTGGCTCATGCCTAAAAGCTGAGCTACTCAAGAAACTGAGGGGCTGGGAATATGGCTTAGTGGTACAGTGCTGCCTAGCGTGCATGAAACCCAGGTTCGGTTTCTCAGTACCACATAAACAGAAAAGGCCAGGGGTGGCACTATGGCTCAAGTGGCAGAGTGCTAGACTTGAGCAAAAGAAGTTCAGGGATTGTCCCAAGTCCTGAGTTTAAGCCCCAGGACTTGCCAAAAAAAGAAAAGAGAAGAAACTGAGATCCACATAATTGGATTTGAAGTCAGCCTCATGCAGAAAAGTCCATGAGACTTCATCTCCAAATGATAGAGTACAAGCCAAGCAAGTGAGAGGTCCCAGTTCAAACCCCAGTACTGCCAAAAATGAGTAAGAATGACAAGGTATAAAAAAGCTGTTTGGGGATGGGAAGGTGGCTCAGTGGTAGAATGCTTGCCTTGCATGCATGAGGCCCTGGGTTCGATTCCTCAGCACCACATAAGCAGAAAAAAAGCTGGAAGTGGTACTGTGGCTCAAGTGGTAGAGCGCTAGCCTTGAGCAGAAGAGCTGAGGGACAGCACCAAGACCAGAGTTCAGGCCCCACGACAACCCCCCCCCCCAAAAAAAAAACGGTTGTTTGTAGAAATGGGAATAGGAAAATATGGAATGGGGCAAGGACAACAGTTTATTTCCTTCCTAGCAAGTCACTTCCCCTCTGAGCCTTCCATCCTTCCACTTCAAAGGTGGTGATAGCCAGGCACTGGTAGCTCATGCCTGTAATCCTAGTTACTTAGGAAGCTGAGATCTGAGGATCGCTGTTCAAAGCCAGCGCAGGCAGGAAAGTCCATGAGACTCTTTTTTTTTTTTTGGGTCCGGTCGTAGGGCCTGAACTCTGGGCTTGGGCGCTGTCCCTCAGCTCTTCAGCTCAAGGCTAGTGCTCTACCACTTGAGCCACAGCGCCACTTCCGGCTTTTTTCTTATCTGGTGCTGAGGAATCGAACCCAGGGCCTCACGCATGCAAGGCAAGCGCTCTACCACTGAGCCAACTTCCCAGCCCCGTCCATGAGACTCTTATCTCCAATTAACCACCAGAAAATCGAAAGTGGCGCTGTGGCTCAAGTGGTAGAGCTGTTGCCTTGAGCTGAAGAGCTGAGGGACAGCACCCAAGGCCCAGAGTTCAAGCCCCATGACCAGCAACAACAACAACAAAAAAGATGGTGATAGCTCCTGTAAGAGCTATCTTAAAAGCCACATGCTCTGACAGTGGTAGGCATTTCTTCATAATATATAGAATACTGTTTATATTTTGAACCACTGTTCCCTACTGCCACCACAGTTGTCTCTTGCTTAGTATCCTTTTCAATGGTTCACTTCCCTTTCTACCCCCTTAAGTCTGAGAGTGAGGCATGTCATTGTAAATTTGTCACTCCTCTGCTGCTCACCTACCTATCACTAAGAAAAGTCAGTGGTATACAAGACCCTCTATTATCCACACCACTATATCACCTCTCTCTCAGTATACACAAGCATGCCGCTCAATGCCATTGCATGCCATTTTCTCCCTCATTCCCTGTCTCCAGCATGCTGACCTTCCTGCTAACCTTAAACATGCCAATCATTCTTCTGCCTCAGGCTTTTGCTCACATTGTCCTTTTAGGGATACCTCTCCTTACCATCATCTAAATTGTAGCCTCTCCTAGCATCTTATTCTAATGGAAGTAGGCTGATAGAGAAACACAAAAATATAATAATATTGCATATGTGAATTGGCTTAGCCAATTTGTGCTTTTTGAGCTATTATAACAAAAGTAGTTATAAACTAATTGTCTTATCAACAAATTTATTTCTCCCATTCTAGAGGCTGGAAAGTCCAAGATCAAGGTATAACAGACCATGTCTGATGAGGACCTACTCCTTGGTTGATGGGGGCTCTCTTATAGCTATAAGCTTACATAGCCTAAGGCATGGGGGGGCCTGTCAGTCCTGTTTTATGTTTTTTTTAAGTATGAATCCCTCTTCAGATTCTACCAAAAGGTCCCAGCTCATAATATTATCACCTTAGGGATTAGAGTTTCAACACAGAAGTTTGGAGGGAACACAGATACTCAATTGATAGCATGTTTCTGTGTAATCCTATTATGTATATATGTATATATATATATACATATATATATATATGTATAATGTCATTTGTATCTGTATATGTGATTCGTAGCCCTTAGAGAAGTTAACTAGATGGTACAAGAAGGACACGTTCCTGTATATACATTGTCTCCTCTGCTCTCCAAAGTCTCTGCAGGTGGTGTCTCTTAGCATCACAGTGGACATTTAGAGCAGAGAGAAGTGACTGCTGGCTCAGAGCCCCCTTCAACTTCATATCTACTAGAACCTCTAAAAGCATTGCAATGTCTATGCTTCTAATAACTCCTGCTTCTTCTAGTTTACTTCTTCCTTGGTCTGGTAATTGCTCAACCACAAGCTTGAAAGAAGATTTGCTAGAATCTCTTCTCCACAGCGGAAGAACTCTAGAACACAGAATGAAAATATAGGAGGAGACGGTATTTTTTAATTGGCTCTTCTCTCAAAGATACATTTAGCTCTGCTACTTGGTAGTAATGTGACAGTACATCTCCGGGTGCTGATAATAAGATATTGACACATGCATGGCAGGAATTCATGCCTCAACAGTCTAATGGAAAAGATAAAAATACACAAGTAACTGAATACTTAAGCATTTAACAAATGTACATGAACATCTACTGTGGCAAAATGGACTCTTCTATGTGTTAGGGACATAAAAAGGAACAATGTAGAGCTTCCATTCTATAGAGAGAAGACAGATAATAAACAGGTGCATAAAATTATCCTGGTGGTGAGAGGTACTGGATTGTGAATGATGGTGGAAAATTGTGCTTTTACCAGATCAGGGAAGACTTCTATGAAATTGACACTTGAGAAAACACCCAAATATTAAGTCAGGAGCGAAAAGATCTGAACAAAAGTCATCCCAAACAAGTCACAAAATAAGAGTGTGGCCTGTGACGAAGCAGAAAGAAGACTGGGGGGGGGGGGGGACGGGGCAGGGGGTGCAGTGTGGGAAGCAAAAAAAAAGGAGGAGGGCAATGATAGAGAGCCTGGGAGCCACTGGTTAGCATAGTAGGGAACTCAGATTCCTTTTTATAGGATTGACTTAATGTACTGCTTTCTAAAGAATCATCTGGCTCTTTATAGAGAATAGAATATTAGTATGGTGGAATGGAACACTGCAGAATTAGCAAAGACAAGATAAAATGCTTTGAGAGACCACTTTTTTCAGGATTTGATTAGAAAAGCTCTATAATAGAGCTGGTCCTTGAAGCAAAAACATGCTTAGGTAAGATGGTGTTTGCCTGAAGAAAAGGAGAAATTGAAAGAAGAGAAGGAAACATTTCAGGCAGAGGAAATAAACATTCAGAGGATCAGGATGGGGCTGGGAAGGTGGCTCAGTGGTAGAGCGCTTGCCTTGCATGCGTGAGGCCCTGGGTTCGATTCCTCAGCACCACATAAGCAAAAAGAAAAAAGCTGGAAGTGGCGCTGTGGCTCAAGTGGTAGAGCGCTAGCCTTCAGCTGAAGAGCTGAGGGACAGCACCCAGCCCAGAGTTCAGGCCCCACGACCGGACCCAAAAAAAAAAAAAAAAAAGGATCAGGATGTTCCAAATGCAGAGATCCCACAAGGGAAATGGGAAAAAGTACATTTGAACCAAGACCGAAATAACAGCTATCAGCAGAGCATTCAGTTGACGTTGAGATTGTTTGCTCCCTTAGTATATGACATTGAAGTGAGAACCTGCAGGCCCCTTCCTAAGCAGCTGCTGTCTGGTTCTCCCCATTTATTTGTATTTCTCTCCCCTTTGCTGTGAGTTTTCAACCACAGCCAGGTTTATATATTTGCTATTCTTTCTGTTCTGAATACTGTATCCTGAGGATAACTTCTCACCTTCCAGATCCCTTTGTAAAACACCATCTTCATCAGATTATTTTCTGGGCCTTTACCTAATGTTACTGTCCTTTGCTTGCTTTAGGACTTTTACCCATCATAGGCTGATTTGACCCATTTACTTACCCATTTATTGTCCCTTCCCTCTTGACAGTAGGATCGGCTTTAGTTTGACTGTCCTCAAAAAAGCCTGAGACAAGGGTTTGGTACAAGTCTTTTGTGTTCAAATATAGAACCCCTTTAAGTCTTACAGGCCTTAGAAGAGAACTCAACGTATTATTTATTACATGTTTCCCTCTAGACCCCAAGAATTTGGCTCTGATATCACTTGGCTACCAGGCCTCTAGAAATGATCCCCCAAACCCTAATTTCTCCTACTGAACTCAAATGATCCCCTGTCATCATTGATACCTCAAAAATTTATGGCCTCTGATTCAAGCTGAATCTTACCTCAATGGAAGATTCCTCCTGACCATTTCTAATGCTAAGACCTACCCTGCAGAACAAGGATTTGAGTTTCCCTTTGTGGAAATTTCACTCCCAGTCATCTACTGGTGTTTGAGCACTACTGTGAGCATTACCTGTAGGGCCCCTTATGTGCCAGGGAGTAGTGGGGACAGGCCAGCCAGTCTGTGTCTGTGATGTAATGCCCTCCTGTACTGCAGGCTCCGGCCGATACCTGGAAAGCCGAGACACTTCCCGACTGAGTGACCAGGACCCTTCCTTGTGGACAGTGGAGGACGTGATGCAGTTTGTCCGGGAAGCTGACCCTCAGCTTGGACCTCATGCTGAGCTCTTTCGAAAACACGTAGGTGACCCTGCCCAGCCTCTCCATTTGCTGAGAGTTTTGCTACTACAATTTGTTTGGTTCTAAAAGGTTGTCATAGACTATCCCAGATCCCTTGAAGCAGACTGCAGTGAACGCTATAAAATATAGAATCTTGGGCCTCAAACAGTCTTCAGTGTTTATCTCAATGTTTTAGCTCAGGCTATTTGGCCACATCCCCACTGGGTATATGGCCTGGAGCTCAATTCCTGGCACAGGTATCTGCCTCTTTTCCCAAGAGTGTTTGTTTGCATGCCTGTCTTGGCATGGGAATCTGGGGCCTCAGCCCAAGTTAAAGGATCCTTTTCAAGTGGTACCCATACTCGCTCTGACTTGGTTGTCTATCATTGCTTGCTCTTTTGTGAATTTGCAGCATCTCTTCAAGGGGGTATTTGGGCCTGTGGCCAGACATTGCTCATGACCCCTCTGTTCTGGCCACACTCCTGCTATGGACTCCAACTTGTATCCCCAGTCAGCTACAGTTTGATGCTAATTTTTCCTGTGGACACTCAGAGGTCTGCTGCCTGGCACTGGTTATATAAACATTTAGTGCTGGGTGGGCTTGCAGGGGCTTCAGAGCAGGCCAAAAAGCTCACAGATGCCCACTGAGTGCTGCTTTGGGCCCAGCTAACACAGAAGGGTCTCTACTGTTCTGGAGAAGTGCTGAATCACAGAACTGCAGCTAACGGTTAAAGTCAATACCAGCTGTATGGGTTCATTGACTGGGAGGCTTATAGGAAAGATGGAGTTGAGCTGGTCTTAGAAGCCTAGAGGTAGGGATACAGACCCCTGGGCAGGCAGCAAAGAAAAGAACATGGTATGAGCTGTGTGAAAAGCCCAACCTGCTGCATTCAGCCAGTGCATTTTAGGAAGGATGCTTCCACGTACCAGCATCCTGACTGCATTCCATTTGGTTGCCACTTCCCGGAGGCCTTTAGCCAGAACCTGAGATGATTAAGCCAACCAGGCCTCTGATTATGCTTCAACCTCCATGTCTACCCTCCATTCATACTTCCAGGAGATCGATGGCAAAGCCCTTCTCCTGCTGCGCAGTGACATGATGATGAAGTACATGGGCCTGAAGCTGGGACCTGCTCTCAAGCTCTCCTTCCACATTGACCGGCTGAAGCAGGGCAAGTTCTGAACAGGAGCCATACCTAGACAACTGATCAGTTGGGCAAAAGAGGCATTCTTTCCAGAAAGGAGGCTACCAGCCTACTTCTAGGTGCCTAGGTGGGGTTCTGGGTCACCTTAGGACTTGATGAGGCTGGGGAGCCACCACTGCTACCCATTCCTGCCACGATACCTCCTTCCATGAAGGATGGGGGATGGGAAAGTATGGGCACAGGGCCAGAGCTGCTCTTCCTCAGCCCTCCATGGCACCCAGGTCCCCTCTACTTATTTCTCAATCCTGGCCAACTTTCACTAGGAGTATAGACTGAGCATTTTGTAAGTGATGGAGATAAAGGCCAACCCTGGGGCCTTAGAAGGCCCTCATATCTGGGCCCCTCACCACTTCCTGGGCTTAGTATGACATCCTATGGCCCCAGTTCCTGCCTTCTCACCAGATCCACAGACTCCAAATTCATGGTGCAAACCTCTACCTTTTTTAAAAAAGATGTTTTCTTATTGCTAATTTATTATTCTGGCACTTAGGCAACCCCTCTGGTTATTGCTTATCTTGCACCAGACACTGAATTTGGAGAAGAGGATGCCCCCTGCCTTGGCTTCAGAGAGGTCCTCTCCAGTATCTGAGGCCCCTTTTCAGAGAACACTGCACTAGGGTATAGTTTCCTTGGAGCTGTTTGCTGTGTTTGGGAGTCTTATATCCCCACTACCACTAGGCCCTTTGTAGCCCCAGGCCCATCTGTGAGATGGGAGTTCCACACTGTCTCCTTGCCCCTTACCAGAATTGCTGCCAATGGACCTAATGCCTCTAGGCCAAGAAGGCCCTGGGGTAGAAGAAGGGAGGGCCTCCAGCCTGGAGTAGTTCTGCCCTTCCACTCACTCTCCTGTGCTTCCTTGTAAGCAAAGTAGCAGCACTGCTGCTCCCGCTGCCATCTGGACTATTTTATGTCTATTTGTTTATAAATAAAAACCAATATAGATGCCGGTGTCTTTTTAACCAGTTGACAGCTCCAATCACTGTGCACTCAGTGAGCAGGCCATTCCCCTTCTCTTGGTCTTGGTTTTCTCAGAGGATCCCTAAAAGTTCTCCTATTCCAGCAGCCCTATGGAACAGGTTATCTTTAATGTCCTGAGGCCAGTACCCCATAGGCTCCTGAGGGAACATCATGAATTCAGGCTCTACACTCAAAAGGCTTTGCTCTGTGCAGTCTGGAAGCAGTGTGAAGACTGGAAAATACAAGGAGCCTTCAGTGGCTGGCTTCTTATCTTCATGGAGTAAGGAGAGAGGCAGGGACAGCACTGGCCAGGGCCCCTCAAGCTCAAGGCCACATACTCTGCTCATAATGGAGGTGACAGGGTTTTCAGGCAGTGGAGGAGATGTAGGAAGCCACAGATTTAGGTCATATAACTAACATTTTGGTATCACTGCCCATGTGCCCTATAAATGGCTCGACCTGAATTAGAATCATCCCCCAAAAATTGAATTATAGCTGGGCACTAGTGGCTCATGCCTGTAATCAGGAGATAGATACCTGAGGATCACAATTTTAAGCAAGCCTGGGCAGAAGTAGAGCTGTGGCTCAAGTGGTAGAGTGCTAGCCTTGAGAAAAAAAAAATTCAGGGACAGCACCCAAGCCCTAAGTTCAAGCCCCAAGACCAGAAAAAAAAAAAAAAAACATTTACATTGTAAATGAGACAGGAATATACCTCTAGCACTTGTTAACCCTCACAAAGCAGTGGTAGTGGAAGCCTCAGCTGTCCAGCTACTGAGAGAATAGCTCACAGCTGTAAGAGCCAAGGAACACTAGAGGGGAGACACATAGAACTTCAGCTATTGTTCCATGACTCTAAAGCTGTGGATACAGCCAAAGCAGACCTAGCTGCCAAGGTGGGTAAGGACAGGGCACCTCAATCTCTCCAGAATCTCATGCTGTCACCCTTTGGGCCTGGGGTCCCATTCTTGCTCCTCCCACACCATCTCTTTTCTCAAGTCATCCATCTGAGCTCTGCCTCCAACCCTGAGGCCAACAAACCTTCAGGAACAGCTTCAGGATGGCTGCCATGAGGTAAGTGGCCTTCACTGCACTGTGAAGCTGTTGCTGGTGGAAGCATTGCCTGTGGTTTCACCCTGATTCTTCATAATCAAGGCTTCCAGCAGTGTGTTCAAGTGTATAATGAGAAACACTTGCCTTAGCCCTTCCTGCATTCAGAGGCTGCACATCACCTGGCTTGGCTCCCATCAAGCAGCAGATAATAGCCCTGCCCCTTAAAAAGCACAGTGCTTCACTGTTTGTTTTTTTTTTAAGGATTATTCTAGACAGCAACTTTTGTCTGTGGCATAGAGAAGTGTCTGGTGTCAGGGGGACCTCTAGACCCCTCCCAACAAGTTTTGATCTATCCTGGAAGCAGCTGGGCACTGAATGTGCTCAGTGGAGTTTGGGTTTATGACCAAGGAGAAAGTAGAGGCTTTACATAATAGGACTACAGAGAAGGCAACTGGGGGCTTGCATGGGCTCAGGAGCCTGAAGGAGGGAGAAAGCACATCTTCAGTCACTGGATTCCAGAAACTGCCCAGAGTGAATCCTGTGGCCAAGCTGGGTCATGGATGGACAGCTGTATATCCTGACAGTGTAGAGCAGGACCCCAGAGAGTTGGAGAGGCATGTCACTGTTTGATGTCCTCAACCCTGCCTGCCTGCACCTGACCCAGAAGGCATTGTTGACCAGCGTGAGATCACAGAGGCAGTTGTGCAGGCTCCGCCCACTTCCTTGAACTCTAGTTCTTGCCTACATGCCAAGCCCCAAGTGCTGTGGGAACTGCTGGCTAGGGGCCAGGGGGCTGTGGAAACACAGGTATGGTAACACCCATAGAACCCCAGTAGCCAGCAGGACTAAAGGTCACAGGCCTCCTCTTTTCTCCTCTCCTGGTTTGCCCTGAATTACTCTAGCTCCAGGCCCTGGCTATCTCAAAGATCCAGTCCAGAAAGATGTAAAGCAGTGACGCTGCCACACAAGCTGGAAGCTGGGAGAGGGGGCGGGGATAAGTGGAGGGCTTGTGTGTGCAGAATTCTGGCTTAGGAGTGAGGGGCAAGGGCTCAGTTTGGACCATCATTCTGACCTTTCTCAAGTTATATATACAAAGGCTATTCTACTGGAGAGGGATCAGTGATTTTGTCCATGGGCCAAAATATGTAATAACCTATACCTAGTCCTGACTTAGACTGTGAGCAATTTTAGATTAGGTGGTAGAAAGCAGGCAAAGGCCTCTTATACAAAAGGCTTCTTTAAAGGTTCTCTCCAGATGCATGGAGACAGTAAAAATCTTCCAATTGGTTCAACTAGGAATACTCTAGACTGTGTGTACTTTCCCCCACCTCCTCTTTTCTCCACCCTTTTCTCTTTCCTCTAGCCTTTCTCTCTTACCCTGCCCAGCCTCAGCTAGTGTGTGAACTCCAGAGGCCGTGGGCTAATCTGAGAGACCAGGGCCCAAGAAGAGCAGCCAGCACTGAGGAATCCAGTATCCCTTCTGAGCAAGACCAACCATGACCCCAAGGAAAAGACCAGCTCAAACACCAGTGTTGGGCCCCCAAGACAGGCATCCCTGGCCAGCACTCCCCCCTAAAGAGCCCCTGGCTGAGTCCAAGCCCTTGGACCATGACACAGTTCCCAGCACACACACACTCTATATTGGCAACCTGAACCCCCAATTCTCAGCACCTGTGCTGGCCTGCCTGCTGCGAGACACCCTAGAGCAGCTTGAGCTGCCCGTGGCACGGGAGCACATTGACGTGGTGAGGCGGCCGAGGAATGCCTATGCATTGGTGCAGGTAACCACACAGAAGGCCACCCTGGCCTCCCTCCCCTGGCGTTTGCAGATGGCCTTGGAGAAGCAGCTGATCCTCAAAGAGCTGACGGCTCGTGGGAAGGAACTGGTGCTGAGTGAAGACTCAGTGCCCCTAAACCACAGAGGGGTGAGCAAGAATTCCCTAAGTGAGGCCCCAAGGCACACTGGTCTGGGGTGGGGGTGGGGCGAAGGCCTGAATATGTGTGGCCGAGGAACCGGGACAAATCTGTAGCTGTGAAGCTGCTACTTAATGACTCCCTACTTTTACCAGGAGGGACTGGCCCTTGCAGAGCACCTCCAGGCTGTTTGACTAATCAAAGGCCTTGTGAGACTCTTCCCTTGAACCTTTTGTATTCCACACTCTGGGTCCAAAGGCCTGTGGGTACACATGGGTTCTGAGTTTTTCCATAGCCCATTTCATCTGTTCAGAGCAGAGCACCATCCACTCTGTTCCCACAGTGTGCAGCAGAGTCCTAGGTTCCAGGCTCTGCCTTCAGGAAGTCCTCCAGACATAGGCAGAGCAAACAACAAAACCAAGGTGGCTGGGAAAAGAACAGAAGGGCTCTCACTGCTTACTGATATCAAATCCAGAGGATTTCAATCCAGGCTTGGACTTAAGAGTTGGACAGGCTATCAGGGAGCTCCAGCTGGAAACTACAGGGTCTGTTGAGGAAGGAGGTTGGGCCACAGTCACCATGCTGTAGCCGAGGCAGAGCAAGGTAAATGATCTCTTTGGAGTACAAACCCATTTTGTCTGAACTGATATCGAACCAAACTGCTTCATGACATTTCAAAGTGCAAGTGCCTTCTCATGTTTGCAGACTTCTTTCATGTCTCTGAGGCTGACATTTGTTTTCTCTAGGAAGCTACTAGGCTGGCAGAGCATCTCATTTCCATGTACCAGCCCATGCTAGATGCCCAGCTCTATAGAAGCAAAGGCAGTAGGAAGCTAGGACAAGGTTTCAAGGGCAGATGGCCATCTGGCTTGTATTAGTGCTTGTGCAACAGCAGCCAAGTGATGAGAGGAAGAGAGACTGAGTAATGAATCCCAGAATGGGAAGTGGCCATGAAGACATACAATGCCCATTGCGCTGTGACAGAGCAGAAGCCATAGAGGGAGGGACCAAAATGTGGCAGTAGTCTAGGAAATAGGCATTTTCTAGGGAGAATAGGAAGAGGATGAGCTTTCTCAGTTTAAGGACTTACAGTTCTGCACAGAAACCTCAGGCCCCAGGGACATCATGGGACAATCACCCAAGGGGACAGATTGACAAATATGCCAGCTCCCACCTTAGAAAGCAGCAGTCTTCAACCCAGTACCTTGAAAAAGCCCAGGGACTGATTTGAACCCTTGAACTAGCAGGAAAGGTGATCTCTCAATGGCTGCAGGGGAGTAGGGTAAGTGGGGCCACTCAGTCTCAGAGGGGACACCAAGACACCTATGGAAGCTGGACCTGGGCAGGGATACAGCTGGGGTCTGACATCTCTCACAGCAGGAGCTCTCTCCTACCTGGGCCTATATACCCTGCTCTTAAATTTCACCCCAGCAGGAGGAGGACAGTGGCCCTAGCTCGGGTCCCAGCCCTGGCCCCAGCCCCAGTCCTGGATTCAGCCTCCCACCATCAGCCTGGCCGGCCAACTTCTCACCTAACCTGGACTGGGCCAGGCCAGGGCATATTCCCCATAACCGGCCTAGTGGTGTGCGATCTGATAGTGCCATTGAGCATCAGGAAATTCAAGGCCAGGAGCGACTCTTCCAGGGTGCCTTCCTCGGCAGCGAGACACGGAACATGGAATTCAAGCGGGGAAGCGGCGAGTATCTAAGCTTGGCCTTCAAGCACCACGTGCGGCGCTACGTGTGTGCTTTCCTCAACAGTGAGGGTGGCAGCCTGCTTGTGGGTGTTGAAGACACTGGCCTGGTGCAGGGCATCCACTGCAGCCACCGTGAAGAGGACCGGGCCCGCTTGCTGGTGGACTCCATCCTTCAGAATTTCAAGCCCCAAGTCTTTCCTGATGCCTACACCCTCACCTTCATCCCTGTCATCAGCACCTCCACCAAGAGCATGCCTCTCAAGGTGATCCTGCAGGTCAGGCAGGACTGTCATCTGTCACTGACCAGCAGGACTGTGGCCATGCTACCACCACACTGCTGAGCAGTACTGGGGCGGGAGTTGGCACATGGAGTAGGGAGCTGGGGACAGGAGCCTACCAAGCTTCTTTAGGGAGCTCCAGGGCTCAGGGAACCTGCATAGGATTGAGACTGCCAGGCATGGATGCCACACCTGAGCTGCTGTTTCTCCTACCAAGGTGCTCCGCCTAACTGTGCACACCCCCAAGACCCAGGGCGAGCCACAGCTGTATGAAACAGACCAGGGGGAGGTGTTCCTGCGGCGTGATGGGAGCATCCAGGGCCCACTGTCGGTCACCGCCATCCAGGAGTGGTACAGACAGGTGAGGAAGCCCGGGCCCCCCTGCCAATTATGGAGCAGTCCCAGGCAAACCTGTGGATGCTCGCTGGGTTCTGCAACAGCCCATGAGCACACAGTAAGGCTTGAGTGAAAGGAATTCCACCTCCTATACCGTGTAGTTCAGTGATGGCTGGGAGAGAGGCCTTCTTTCTATATTCTTTCTCACACTACCTAACACCTTGGTGATGAAGGCTCTCTGTTGAGTGGCCAGGGAGCAGGGACACTGAAAGACTGAAGACTGAGAAGGAATCCCCAGACCTATGTGCAGCATTTAGGGGGAGGGGTGAGCAGAGTGCTAGACTCAATCCCAAGGAGCCTTTTCTAGAGGGAACTATCAGATGATTGAAAAACAGCTTAGGACCAGGAGAGCAGTGAAAAGGGTATGGCCAAGTGACAATCCATGCTTGCCATGGTGCCCAGGAGGTGCTGAGGACAACTGTCTCATATCCCTGTTTCAAAGTTACAGACTGTACCATGGCTAGCACTCCCCTCCCCCAGCTATAGTTAACTGCAAAAGAAAAGCAAGCCCAGGACAATGTCAGTATGATCATCTGCTGCCACACTTTCCCCTCAGAAGTGGACAGCAGTACTGGGCAAGCTGGAGGAGAAGGTGAAGGTACTGACAGCGGAAAAGGAGCAACTCCAACAGCAGCTGCAGCTGCAGCAGCATAACCGTATGTCATGCACCTGCTGTGTCCTGTGAGGCCCACTTCAGGTGGGCAGTACCCTGCAGTGCTCTGCGGAGCCAGGCACAAGCTCTGACCCAAGCTGTCCTAGCAACAGAACACAAGTGGACCTGGTGGAGGTTGATGGAGGCTCGGGCCACATCTCCTTCAGCACTGTACTCTGGGAACCTGTGGCTTCACTGACCAGATAGTGTAGCTGAGAAGCTGCTCTTAGCACATCCTCCCCCCTCCCCCCCCCCCCCAGGAACCTTGGCCAGTCAGCCTAGAACTGAGCTCCAAAAGGCCTGCCTTCCTAAATATTGCCTTGGCCAAGTTGGATCCAAGACTCCAGAGGGCTAGACAGTGCCAGAAAGATACGTCATCTTGGAAGTTCCCAGCAGCCAACAAGGTATATGTGGCAACTGGGTATGGAGCAAACAGGCCACCCTGCAATCCACTGACTCAATGCAATTTGTGATTATCAAAGCCCTTTAATAAAAAATTGTATGCACAGGGAAAACAAATGGTTATTTCTAGGACATTTGGTCAACCAGCAGAAACCCAGCTCCCACCTCCCATCATAATCAGGTCCCCCCCACCTGATTATGGAGGGGAGGCATTTCCTGGACCAAGCACAAATGCTCTAGGACCATGCTCTAGTGACAACGGCAGGTCACCAAACTGTCACCCACTCTGCTGCCCCCTAGAATCACTGAAGCTGAGAACTACACAAAGAATGCATGCCTCTGGCTAGGGTGATTATTTAATGTGCCAGAGTGCAGCATTTCTATGCATCACAGGTGTGATGCTAGCTTGATGCTAGCCCAGGCATTACCATCCTCAGAAATCCTCAGAAAGTGGGAAGCAGCCAGTTTCTAAAAGCAGGTGAAGTCAGAGTGAGTGTAACAACACCAGTCTGCTCAGAACCACCTGCCAAGCCCCTGGATCTAAGAAATGCTTCTCATCTAAGGACTCAGTACAGGGATGCTGCTGGGTAGGGAACAGTCAGGGCATTGACCAGTTGGAAACAGCCTACAAGTCTACCCTCCAGTGTTTTGGCACAGCCACTATAGTAAGCCACGTGTAATCTCTTTTCTCAGAAGAAGGTTGTTCAGGAAGCTAGCACATTAGTCGACTGAGGCAGTTCACCTGGGGCACAAACATGACGAGAGGTTCGTTGACCATCCACCCATATATACATACCCAGCCATGTCCTCACTGTTGTAGGGACATGCTGTCCCCAGAGGGCAAGGCTTTGGGGGCACCTTCCATTGGTGTGGGAGAATGATAGGACCACTGAGTGAGAAGTCAAAAGCATATTCAACCAGCCATACACTGAGCTTCAAGACAAGTGTGAAGATCTCCATAGGCATGGAGAGTAACAGTTTAATAAGAAAGGCTTCTCTATCTAGCTGGCTTTAATTCTGCTGTGCTGCTGCGCAGCAGAACTATGCTACTACTACTCCACCGCCCTGCCCCTCCCCCGCCCCCCAGTCATGGGGCTTGCACTCAGGGCCTGGGCACTGTCTCTGAGCTTCTTTTTGCTCAAGGCTAGCAGTCTACCCCTTGAGCCACAGCACCACTTCAGGCTTTTTTCTGTTATGTGGCACTGAGGAATCGATCCCAGGACTTTATGTATGCTAGGCAAGCACTCTACCACTGAGCCACATTCCCAACCAATTGTCTCTTAGTTTTAAACATCAGATCACTCACTGGAGGCTATACCCCTGGAAGAACCCTGGCTCAGTGCCCAAACACAGGCACCCAATAGTTCTCAGGCCTCTAATTTCCCTGCCTGGCTAAGAATAAAAACACTAAATGAAGGCTGCCTTTGATTCTGAATTATTTATTTAAGTTAGGAGTATAACATTGAGACCAGTCAGAATAGAATAGGCACTTGGCCATCCCACTGTTAACATCACGCTAAGAAAATAACTTTTCATATTGCATTTCAACTGAAGTTAACACCGTTCTGGAAGAAAAAGTACCCTCGAGTCAAAGCTGTCAACATGAGAGGGCTTTATAGGCAATTTTTCCCAAAAAGATTCTGGCTTTTTAAGTGACCCCTTGATGCAAGGAGTGTTCCCAGCCCCAAGAATAGAAAGCACAAAGGCTTAGGGTCTTTACATCCCACTTGAGAGATACAGATATCTTGCTGTTTCATGTGACACTGAACTGAATGTCCCTTTGGGTGAGGAGCAGTAGCTCTGGTCTCACTGCTCTGAGAGGCAATGACCATAGTTACTGGCACCAAAGTGTGAGACATACTGGCTAAAATGATCAAGTGTTCGGTGAGTCCACGTGGCACTCAAATCCACAGTGACACGAGGTAGTTGGAGAAGCAAGGTGGTCCATGGGCTTCTACCAGCCCACCCATTATCAGTTCCCATCCAAACATCCAGCTTGTCTTAGGAAACTCACAGATTGTGCAGAAATGTGCTACATGACAGGCAAGTACATCATGAAGTAGCCAGTAAGTGATGGGACATGCAAGTGACAAAGTTTCCAAATACCTTTCCCCATAATAAAATAATCTTAATAAGAAACATAATTTAAAGGAAGTGTCAAAAGCTGAGTGTAAAATCATAGCTGTAAACTCTATCAAAGTCAGAGTCTCTTGAAGAATCATTCCTGTTTAAAAAAACAAAACAAAAAAGCAATTACATGATGTCTGTTAACATAGAAACATTAGAATATCCTCAGCTGCGCTGAGAAACTATTTTTAATAGAACAGTAGTTGGAGCTATATTTCTAAATTCTTTTTTTTTTTTTGTCGGTCATGGGGCTTGAACTCTGGGCCTGGGCGCTGTCCCTCAGCTCTTCAGCTCAAGGCGAGCGCTCTACCACTTGAGCTACAGCGCCACTTCCGGTTTTCTGGTGGTTTATTGGAGATAGGAGTCTCACGGTCTCTCCTGCCCGGGATGGCTTTGAACCGTGATTCTCAGATCTCAGCCTCCTGGGTAGCTAGGATTACAGGCGTGAGCCACCAGCGCCCGGCTATATTTCTAAATTCTACAGAATCACACAAAGACCTTGCAATGACCTCTCCTTTGCCTAAATATAAGCACTCTTCCCACAGCTTCAGGTCCACCAGTGGGTAAGTCTCCATGTAATTAACCAAATGCCTTTACTGTTACTATCCTTTCTCTCATCAGTTTCTGAGATCAAACAAGCAGCCTATAGCAAAACCCCTTAGTGTGGGATATTAGTGAGGGCATGGTATCACATGCACACCTAGCAGAGCAAGCAGCCTGCTCACCTCTCTAAAGTTAGCCCAGGTCAAGCAGCCAATCAACAAGGCACAAGGGGAATCAGTCAAGATCAGAGCATCAGACCAGCCACTGGGTCAGCATCAGAGCCCCTCTGGAGAAGGATGCCTGGGACAGAGGATCCAGATAGGGCTGCCCACCCCATGCCTTAGGGCAGGAACTATCTCACTCAGACCCTAGATTCCTGGTGCCCTCTCTTCTGGGCCCCTCAGAATCGGCAATTCATTCTGTCAACAGCCAACACTATAAACAGATTTCTACAATTCACAGTGCCCATAGTTACTTCAACTTTATACTCACTAATGCTATCACTTTTAAGACAGACATTCAAAGTCTGTTCAATAACTGGACCAAGCTGGGTACAAGCAGTGTCAGTTCTGAAGCACTTCCAGTTAAGACCTTGAGGCCCTATGAAATGATATGCCATAACTGTAAGGCCCACTACTACACATATCCAGATTTATAGAGGGGCCTAAACACTTCCCCTAGTTGGCTCCAGAGAAACTGCATGCTGAAATGAGTCCCCAGAAGTACCCAGAGAATGATGTGGAGTGGCCAGCTAATACCCACACTGGCCTTTCCACCACCAAATGCATGATAGTATTACAATGTTATTGCCATTTTTTAAAAAAAAACTAAAGTTTGAAGGTATCACATTACCAGATCAATCATGATTTATCGATGGAAACTTGAGCTCTGTGATTTCCGAGTCGGGGGAGCTGCTCCCACTTCTGTCACTGTAGGTGTCCCTGTAGGATGTATAAGGTTTATTCCTCATCTCTCACCAGAATCTCACTTCTAACTCCCTGCTTCGTAGCTGCCATTACTACAGGGACATGTGTCCTCAACACAGCAGACATCTGTTGACCACAAACGGTTCTGAGACCATAGAGGGATTTGTTTAATTAGGAGAGATAACCATTTTCTTTCAGTCTTGATCTGCTAACCATAGCAGCCAGATCTGGATAATGGCAGCAATGGGAAATAAACCCACTGATTGGAGCCCACTCCTCATGGAAACCCAAAGTTTCTTTAACATAGACCCAAGGGGTCCTCTGCCAAACACGATCTGTTCAGCCTCATCACCAGAACCTGACCACTGCAGAGAAGGGGTCTGGCCAACATGCAGAGGAGCAGCTTAAAAGACTCCATGGGAAGACTCCATGGAAATGTGAAGAACATACGGCACCCCATCTATGGACACTGCTCAGTTCTTCTTAGGGATTCACTAAGTGACACCTCACTGCAATACATGGTATGACCATGTCTCCCCCCCCCTCCCCTGCCACCCTCCCACCCCGCCACGGCCAGTTTAGGGGCAAGAGAAGATGAGGCATTTGTTACTGAAGCAGTGTCCCCACCCACCTGGGAGAAAGCCTGCAGCCTTTCTGGAGGTAATGTGGGAGACGCCCCACAGAGGCCAGGAGAAGGCCAAAGTAGGGTGGGGAGGGCTTGATGGGCCTGGACAGGAACTCAGGGTGGTACTGAACTCCAACAAAGAAAGGATGATCTGAAACAAATTCAAAAGGATCCATTATGTATGTTGTACATTAGTATGAGACAAAATCTTCACTGTCCAGGTACTCACCTTCCAGCTCCACAATCTCCATCCTCTCGCCTTCAACATCTTGGCCAACAAACTTTAAGCCTTGCTCCTCCAAGCACTTTTTCAAGACTGGATTCACCTGGTGAAGCAGAAAAATTAGGCCCCCTGTTACCATCTTTCTAGAGCAGTAGAAAGGAAGGGATATGATTGCGTAATTCACCTCGAATCGGTGTCGGTGTCTCTCTTCCAAGTAGTCCACATCTCCATAAAGTTTTCCTGAGGGGGGGGGAAAAATATCAAGCTGGCTGGAAGACTTCTGATTTTACCAAGGACTTAATTCACAACTGCATTCTACTTCCTGGTTCACTTTAATGTCCACATAGCCAGGCCATATTAACCCTGCCAACCAAACTTGGTTAGTTGCTCTAGGCACAGCTTCAACTAATTCTCAGGCTTCAGAGAAACAGGCTTTCCAAACCCCCTCAAATGCAGAACTGCTCAAAGACAAAGCATTCTGCTGCTAGACACAGCCTAAAGAACAGACCAGGACCTACCAAATGGCCAGTACCCAAAGAATAGTGTGAAGAAAGGAGATCATTCAGAGCTACACAAACCTCTAAGGATGTCGAAGATCATCAGCACCTGGAGCTCTAGGCAAACAGGCTCTAACTATGCAAATGGCTGCTTTATTGACAGATGTTTGTGTGGCCTAGAGACTCGCAAAGTAGGCTGCCTCAGATTCCCCCAGATAGATGCCAGGTGCTTCTGCTGATGGACTAAAGGCAGAATGTTCCCAGTAGGCAGGGAAAAAAAGCCTGCCTTATAGCAATTTTCTCAACTATTTTTTCTCCTCAAATTTCTCAAAAAATTTTTATTTTCTATTAGTACTTTGTAAGGATTTTTTTTTAAAAACCATCAATGGGCTGGGAAGGTGGCTCAGTGGTAGAGTGCTTGCCTTTCATGCATGAGGCCCTGGGTTCAATTCCTCAGCACCACATAAGCAGAAAAAGCTGGAAGTGGCACTGTGGCTCAAGTGGTAGAGCACTAGCCTTGAGCTGAAGAGCTGAGGGACAGTGCCCAGGCCCAGAGTTCAAGCCCCATGACCAACCAAAAAAAAACAAGTTCCACACAGTTCATCTTCATAGTAGAAATTAACAGTGCAATGAACCTAAATTTACTGCCCACCCCACCACACACACACACACAGGCCCAAGGCCTGGCCAATAACCTCTGAGACCCACCTTGCTGCCCTGTATGGACAATACATCCTAAAAGGACATGAACTTGAGAAATGCAAGTAAGAACAAGAAAAAGCCACCCTTGGGGCTGGGAAGGTGGCTCAGTGGTAGAGCGTTTGCCTTGCATGCCTGAGGCCCTGGGTTCAATTCCTCAGCACCACATAAGCAAAAAGAAAAAAAGCCGGAAGTGGCGCTGTGGCTCAAGTGGTAGAGCACTAGCCTTGAGCTGAAGAGTTGAGGGACAGCACCCAGGCCTAGAGTTCAGGCCTCACAACTGGACCCCCCCCCCAAAAAAAAAGCCACACTGGCTCTTCTTAGCCACAGCACCACCCTAAGCCCCACGTCCTGGATAGGCCAATGTGGGGCAGCTCTTACTCATGACTGAGTTCTTGGTCTGGAACAGGGTTCTCCTCTTGCCCAGCCTCATGGTTCCGCCCATCTGCCCTGGGTTGTGTTCTGGCATGTCTATGACCTGGAGATTTTCAGAGAAAAAAAAAAAAACACAAACTACTAAACCTGGCTTCCACTGGGAGATAAGACCTCCTTCCTCCAATGAAGCACCCCCATAAGGAGGCTCTGCATATCCAGCCTTACTGCTGGGAATAATGCAAATAATGCAAATCAATGAGCATAAAGTGGCAAGAACAGTGACTGGCATGTACTACATTCATACATAAATATGCCTCCTAAGGTTGTTACAGGAGGCAGGGAGAGAGCTATTCCCATCAAGATCAAGATCCCCTCTAGGTGGCTGCACCTGTGGGAAAGATGAGTAAGGAATGAAGACTAATGGTGAAAATTCAATGTTCTTATCTGTTAGGTCTTAGACACAGTGTCAGAGTACTCCCAAAGGGAACATTCTTCAGGAGGCAGCCACATGGCCTCACAGCCTGTCTCTGCCATCAACTATGTCATGAATGCCCTTCTACTCCTTTTGAGTTCTGGGAGATTCAAACACTTGACTCACCACAGGATGACTGGTCTTAGGGTCAAACTCTGTAGAATTGGCATCTGAAAAAGTAAAGTATTGGAGTTATGAAAATAGTTAAAACAAAACTGATTACTTGTAGTAGCTTCATTGCTAAGCACTGACTCATGATTTCCCCCAGTTTAAGGTCAAAGACCATAATAACTAGGGAACAAGCTAGGCATCAGTGGGTCATGCTGGTAATCCTAGCTACTCAGAAGGCTGAGATCCAAGGATCACAGTTCACAGCCAGCCTTGGGCAAGAAAGTCTATGAAACTTATTTCCAATTAACCATTAAATAAAAAACAAAACCCAGAAGTGGAGCTGTGACTTAAGTGGTAAGAGTACTAGCATTGAGCACAAAAACTGGGATAGCACCCAGGCCCTGAGTTCAAGCCCCAGGACCAGCAGTACATGCGCGCGCGCACACGCGCACGCGCACACGCGCACGCGCACACGCGCGCACACGCACACACAAGCTAGACACAGCATTTTAAAATATCCAATATTCAATACAAACAGGTGAATTTTTTCCATGAAGCCTTTAACTTTCTGGGAAGTTAAGCTGTACAAAATTGAGAAATCAAAACCAATTATTGAGAGCCAGTGGTCTGTAGACCACCACCACAGAAGACTCCCAAGGTACTCGCGCCGGACCCAGAAAGGGTAAACAGAGACAGAAATCTTGGAGCTCAGAAACTGCACGAAGACCCTTCCCCCACCCCTCGCTGGCAGCATGACTCTGTGCCAAACCGACAAAGCGACCTGTCCTGCAGTCGCCAGGGACCCCAAAGCCATAGCAGTCCATAGAATGCCAGCACAGAAAATGCACACAGTGCCAGACCCGGACTGAATAACCAGAGACACAGACCATGAAACTCAGACCCACCACCACCCGGCCCAGCCCACAATCATCTCAGGACTAGGTGGCATGATTATCTCCATTGACGTGGAAAAGGCTTTTTGATAAAATACAACATCCATTCATGTTAAAAAGCTCAGGAGAAAATAGGAATAGAAGGAACATTCCTTAAAACAATAAAAGCCATATACAACAGACCAATAGCCAATATTATACTAAACAGGGAAAAACTACAACCAAAGGAAAGGATGCTCACTCTCTCCATGCCTCTTCAATATAGTTCTGGAATCTTAGCTAGAGCAAGAAAGGACAGTAAAGGGATCCCCATAGGGAAGGGAGAAATTCAACCATCCCTATTTGCAGATGACATATTATACCATAACGACCCCCAAAACTCCACCCCCAAACTCCTAGAGATTTGGCAAAGTAGAAGGATACAAAATCAACCCACAAAAATCATTTGCCTTTTTGTACACCAACAATGTACAAGCAGAGAGGGAAATCAAGGGAAAAACCCCATTCACAATAACCTCAAAAAAAAAAATATCTAGGAATTAACCTAACCAAAAATGTAAAGGAACTACTTAATGAAAACTATAAAAGCCTAAAGAAAGAAATCACAGAGAACACCAGGAAATGGAAAGACCTTCCATGTTCCTGGATAAGCAGAATATATAGTGAAAATGTCCATACTGCCAAAAATGATATACAAATTCAGTGCAATAACCATCAAAATCCCAATGTCTTTCTTTACTGAATAGAGAAAACAATCCAAAAATTCATATGGAACAAAAGACCTAAATAGCCAAAGCAATTCTAGGCAAAAGAAATACCGCAGGAGGGATCACGATACCAGATTTTAAGCTCTACTATAGAGCCATAACAAAGACAGCTTGCTATTGGCACAAAAACAGGCCCGAAGACCAACGGAACAGATTAGAAGATCTAGAAATTAAATCACATACCTATAGTCAGCTGGTATTTGACAAAGGAGCCAAAGACATACAGTAGAAGAAGCATAACTTCTTTAACTATTGGTGCTGGGAAAACTGGGCGGCCACATGCAGAAAACTAAAAGTGGACCCTAGCCTTTCACCATGCACTAATATCAACTCAAAATGGATTAAAAACCTTAACATCAAACTTGGAACTGAAACTACTGCAGACAGAGTAGCAGAGACACTTGAACTTACAGACACAGGCAAGAACTTCCTGAACAGAGTCCCAGGGTCACAAAAATTAGAGAGAGACTCAACAAATGGGACTACCTTAAAATTAAAAGTTTCTGCACAGCTAAAGACATAGCTACCAAACTAGAAAAACAGCCAACTAACTGGGAAAAAATATTTACCAGCAATATATCAGACAAGGTCCTAATATTCATTATATACAGGGAACTTAAGAAACTAATCTCTCCCAAATCTAACAAACCAATCATTAGCAAGGGAGCTAAAGAGAGACTTCTCAGAAGAAGAGATAAAAATGGCAAAGAAACACATGAGGAAATGTTCATCATCCCTGGATGTAAAGGAAATGTAAATAAAAACAACCCTTAGATACAACCTTACCCGGGTCAGAATGGCCTACATCCTAAATTCAGCTAATGACAAATGATGTGGAGAAAAAGGAACCCTATTACACTGCTGGTGGGAATGTACACTTATATAACCACTTTGGAGAGCAGTCTGGAGGTACCTCAGAAAGCTAAACCTCTCCTATGACCCAGCCATACCACTCCTAGGTAACTACCCTGAGCAACAGGAACCAAGATACAGGACACAGCACCTTCATGTTCATTGTAGTACTGTTCACAATAGCCAAGATATGGAAACAACTCAGATGCCCTACTACAGATGAATGGATCTAAAAATTGTAATCTAAAAAGTTGTATTGTCAAAGCTCATAGAATTCACAAACATTATAGACCATGATAACGACAATTTGCCTTGTGAAGGTTAAAATGTATCTGACTTAAGTATCCCTATCTCACAATACTGTGAAATTTATGTAATTAGTTAATCTCAATAAAAAATTATTTAAAAAATTATTTAGATGTGTTCATTACAACAGTTCTTACATTCTTACAATCATATTTGATTTTGGGGGGGAGTACTACTGTTTCAACTCAAGGCCTCACCCTTGAGCCATGCCCCCAACCTTTTTAAGCTTTAGTTTTCAGATAGACTCTTGTACATTTTTCCCAGTAATGACCTCAGACTGTGATCACCTTAACCCTGCTTCCTGCACAGCTGGAGCCACAGGCATATACCAAAATGTTGGCCCAGTGTATTCTTTGAGAAAGAGCCTTGCTAACTTTTTTTTTGAGTGCTCACCTGAAACGAGTCTCCACCTCCCAAGTTCTGGGATTATAGCTGTGAGGAGTTGTGCTTGGACTTCTACTTTTACTCTCAGCATCTCATATGCTGCCCTGCTCTAAACTGCTATGTCAGAAAGTAAGTAAATGATTTCAGTACAAATAACCTTTTTGTCCTGTACTGAAAACATCCAGCGGAATCATCCAGAGAACATTGAGAGGTGAACAGCCAAGGCTATTAAAGCCAGTGAGTTTTCGGGTGGTCACTGCAGTGATCTACAGTTCGTAGATAGATCTGATGTTTGAGCATTTCCAATTTGCCCACACTGCTAGGGATGGTGTGCATGCATTATTTCACCAATTTTTTAACTGGGAAGTAGGTCCCATATTTTTTCTCCCAATCTACAGAAGAATCAAAGCCCCAGGAAAGCTAGGCAAGTTGCCTGAAATCAGCATCCTAAGAGATAAAGACAGAACTAAAGTCCAGGTTCTTCTTTCAGCCCCAGAGTCTGTTTCTAACTACTATGCAGGCCTGGTAGGCCAGGGGCTTCCTGCTGGGCACCCTGTGAATGGCAGCCACAGCAGTCAGAGAATTTCAACAACAGGAGCTGCAGGAGCTGCAGGAGCCAAAGGACAGCTGGCTCAGCTGTGTGGAGGAGCTTGTGGCACTTTGGTGGGCGAGGCAGCCCTGCTCCCAACCACCAACATGCCACACCATTTCAGCCACTTGGGAGTAGTTACACCAGAATCAAGTGTCCAAACGCACTTACCTTGCCATCCCAGCACATTTCTTGAAAATTCAACCACAGCCAACTGCATTCCTAAGCACACACCTTCCAAACAGGGAAAAGCAAATGAAACTGAGAGAAGCAGTTCCCACACGCACACCCCTAGGCTGCCAAGGACTGTGTCATGCAAGGTCATTTCCCACATGCACAAGCACCCCCTGGCTCCTGTGCTAGCTGTCTGATTTAACTGTCCATGAAGATTCTAGGTTCTATAGTCAGCCTGAGAAAAAGGCAGTATTCCACCCAGTACTTTAAAATTCAGCTTTCCTTACCTTCACTCATTCAATTCTCATTTACAATTGATGAAACTGGAAATTAACTAAACTCCATCTCATAGTTCTGTAAATTCCTAATTGATAGTTCATTCTCCTACAATTCTAAGCTATCTACATGTGCTCATCAACTCCATTTAAACAGCCTACATTTCTCCCCAAGAGAACCTTAGAGGCTTTCCATTCTCATTCAACAGACAGCATGTGAGTCGAGGTACTGTGTCTGTAACTTAGTTTCCCTATACTCTGGCCCCACCTCTGTCCTCTGGGGCACCTTCTCTTCCTCCTTCCTCCACAGAGTAAGGAGGGCATGGTAAAGCACCTTACCCAAAAAAGGCTTTTTCTGTTTCCGAGCCCAGGCAATTGCTTGGATTTTTCCTTCTGTCCCTCGAACACCAAATCCTCCCGGAACCAGTATTCCACTGCACGAGAGAAAACCACAAGGCATTGGGCTCTACCCAGCCCATAGTTACCTCAAAGCAGCCATGGTGGAATAACTGGTTTCCTCTGAGTTACTTGGAGATTGCCAAGGAGCTGCATGTGGTAACACTACAAACTTAGCTAAGTGAAACTCTGAATATGGGCACATAAGGACTATAATGGTGCTACTGTACTTGGTACAAGTACTTTGTGCATAATTTTCTTTTTTTGCCGTCCTGGGGCTTGAACTCCGGGTCTAGGCACAGTCCTTGAGCTTTTGTGCTCAAGGCTAACATTACACCTCTTAGAGCCACAACTCCATTTCTGGCTTTTAGGTTGATAAGAGTCTCATAGACTTTCTTGCCCCAGATCTCAGTCTCCTGAGTTATATTTTACAGTATTGGTAGACGTGTGTGTGTGTGTGTGTGTGTGTGTGTGTGTGTGTGTGTGTGTGTGTGTGTGTGTGTGTGTGTGTGTGTGTGTGTGTGTGTGTTTTGGGGGGAGGGGTGGTTTGATTGGTCGTGGGGCTTGAACTCTGGGCCTGAGCGCTGTCCCTCAGCTCTTCAGCTCAAGGCTAGCGCTCTACCACTTGAGCCACTGCGCCACTTCTTAGGCTGTGTTTTTTAAGTCACACAATAGGTCATCTGTGTAAAAATGAAAAGACATTTAACAAATAGGTTGCTTGGCACTAGCAGACAAGACCATGATATCAACAAACCCATAGCCAGAACCCATACTTACTGAGCACTGCAGAGCTTCTGCCATGCTTCGTGGTAGCGTACCGGCTCCTCCTGCAGAGTGCTGGGTTCCAGGTCTGTGGAGTCAATGTACTGCAGGGAGACAACAAGCAGCTGGTGACTTTTATGTGTCATTACCAATGTTCCACCTCCCTCCATTTTGGTTTCCAAGTCATAACATATTTAAATTTAATAATAATTTAAAATTTTAACTTTAAAACGAGCTTCAAAATCTTATCTCTGCTAAGCCACTGCAAAGTATCTTCCGTTCAACTTCCCCCCCATGCCATGTTACCCCATTTTCATCTGTATGAAGTATGATCCACATACAATAAGGTAAAACCTTTTTAAGTGCATGCTTTCGTGGTTTGTCCAATGTACAGACATGAAGGTATGACCACCACCTCAATCAAGATAAAGTACCACTATCCCAAAACTCCCCATCTGCCAATCTGCAATTCCCTCTCTGCTTCCCACTCCAGACAACCCCAGAGGCTGACTTCTTAGTTTAGTTTGTCTTCAAGAACGCATATGAATAAAGCCAAACAATATGTAGTTTTTGGTGTGTGTCTGTCTTGGTTTACTCAATGTGTTTTTGAGATCCAACACTGCATTTATCTGGTTGGTTTTTTATTGCTGAGTAGTTTTTCATTGAATAGCTACTCCACAATCCAATTGCTGACCTACTACTTGATACTCTATTGTCACTTGTAGAGATGGGCAAGGCTGTGTCCCAACACACCACGGGCTCAGCTCTGCCTGTCATGACCCAGGCAGAACAGATACAGGGAAGGTTTTCAATGGCAACATGCCTCTATCTGCCAGGCCCATGGGCACTGGGATTCAGATCCAGGCACTTGGTTTCTCTCTGTATCTACTCTGGCCACTTTTTCTTTGCTATTTCCAGAAACTTCTGTTTTCTCAGAGCCCAAAGCCAATCATCAAGCTTTCTTATCACTAAAAAGAAATCCAGGGCTTCAAAAACATAGAACAGATATGCATGCATCATCCACAAAAACACCAACTACTTCTGTTTGCCTCTTGCTATACCTGCATCACTCCCTTTACCTTGATTTCCAACTTGTGGTTGATAGCCAATGCAGAATGCTCCAGAGCTTTAATGACAGAGGCATAGGAGTCCGAGAACTTGGTGTATTTGCCCACAAGGGCAATCGAGCAGGTTTCCAGCAAGCGATCATACCTAGCAAACAAGTCAAGAAACACTCAGCAATTTGGAATGTACACACCTTCATGAGACCATAATGGCTTTTGTTATACAGGAAAAATATGCCTAGGAAGAATCCAGTGGGAGTGAACATCACTTGAAGGCTATGTACAAACAGGTCAAAAGGAAGCAACCTTCAGAACAGGGCAGGACATGTAAAGAAAGTAAGATTTGAGAAACCCTTGTGAAGAGACAGGTTCAAAATCTCACAGAAATGTTTTTAAAAATATCTCAATCTCAAAGGGGCTGGGGAACTCAACAGACATGAACAGACAATTCACTAGAGTTAATATGATTAAAAAGAAAAGTGAAATTATGGAATATTTACAAAAGAAAGCTCTACCCAATTTCTATTGTAAAGTATAATTAGTAACAGCAAAATGATTATGTTTTATAAAATGAGGGCAATAAAACTGTGGATCACTTGGGTAGCTTCATGTAAAATATACACATAAATGAAGACTAAAAGGGAAAAACATCAAGATGAAAATAACTGCCACCAAGCAATGGAATAAATGCACCCTTCTGCTGTCATGGTGACACTGCTGTCACCACAGTGAACCATACCTTGCTCTGAGGAACGATCTCAGAATCAGAGAACAACAGAGCTTTAGGAGAAGATGGTGGCAGAACTTCCCTGCTGATTCTTTTCTGTATTATCAAGCATAGCTCAGAAATCAGCAAAGCTAATTAGAAGTACTCCAGGCAAGACCAGCCATTCACCTGGGTTTGAGGAATGCAGGCTGACCAACTGCCACTGGATGCATGTGTGCTGGCTATCTGTGTGATAACAGACAAATGTATGTAATTGAACTCACTGCCTGGAAAACTGGGAACTGGCCAGGCCCTGCAAGAACCTCATCTGTGCTGTGCAACAGAATCCATCCCCAGCACTCGGAGCACTTTTTAACCATACAGGCCTTTTCAAGGCCTGAGGGGCTCCAGCATAAATTAATCCTCTGCACTGTGACAAAAAAGCAAGAAGGCTGGCACTGCCAGCTCCTGGGAGGCTGACCTGTCTGCCATCTCTTTCCACTTCATCAGCATCTTCCGTGGCTGCCTCTCAATAGGAAGATCCAGCCTCCGAAGGAAATAGTCCACAACCCCTTGCTCTTCTAACAACAAGGGGACCCGGTATATGGATGAGACATCATGGACGCAGATCACCTGTTCAAACAACAAAAACAATTATTAGTGCTCTAACAAGAACAAACCGGGCGATGGCCTCCTACTAGTAATGTGACTGAAAAAAAAAGTTCTCAGTTTGGAAACAGAAAAAGGTCATGTTCTAGAAAAAGATGAATTGCCAAAGCTGACTCAAGAAGAATGATTAGAAAATTATTGGCTTTTATGAACATGGATACCAAATGCCAAGGAAGAAAGGAAGGAAGGAAGGAAGGGGACAGAAGGAGGCTAAGAAAGGAAAGCATTGGGGGGGGGGAGCGGGGAGGATTGGGTGGGGGAGCGGGGGGAGGATGGGAAGGGATAGAAAGGGGAAACAAAGGAGGAGGCTACAATACTTGACAAGAAATGTACTTATTATCTTGCCCATGTAATTGTAACCCCTCTGTACAGTATTTTCACAATTAAAAAAAATACAAAAATAAAAAAAAAGAAAGGAAAGCATTGGTGTGGTGATACAAACTTGTAATCTCAGCAGTGAGACAGGATCACAGTGATGCATGCCTATAATCACAGCTACTCAGGAGGCAGATATTGTGGGGATATCACACTTTAAGGCCAGCCCAGGCAAAGAGTTAATAAAACTTCATCTAGCCCCTTACCTTCCCAATAAAGAGTAGACACAGTATCTGCATCTGTTATACCAGCTATGTGGTAGGTGTAAGTCAGATCACAATCCAAGCAAAAAATGCAAGATCCTAACTAAAAGCAAATTGAGCTGATACCATGGCTCAAGTAGTAAAGTAAATTGCCTAGGGAGCACAAAGCCCTAAGTTCAAACCCCAGTATCACAAATCAAAGAAAAACTGTAAGAATTGATTTAATCCCCAGCACTATACACACAAAGAAATACATACACGCAGATATAGATGATAGACAGACAGACCTCACCATAGGCTAGTCCTAAAGAAATGGGGCTAGATATTCATATATAAAAAAGATAAATTCCAATCTTACCTTGCATTATAAACAATTATAAACTCAAAATAGATCATGCAAGATCTAAAACTACAAAACTTTGTTGTGGGTCTTGAACTCAGGGCTCAACTCTGTCCCTGAGCTCTTTTTGCTTAAGGCTAGTGTTCTACCACGTTAAGCCACAGCTCCACTTTTGATTTTCTGGTGGTTAATTGGAGATAAATCTCAGACTTTCCTGCTCCAGCTGGCTTTGAACCATAATCCTCAGATCTCAGCCTCCTGAGTAGCTAGGATTACAGGCATGAGCCACCAGCACCCAGCTACTTGCCACGTTTTTAATAGTGAATACCTTTAGTGAAAAGCAACTCTGCTACAGAAATGAATTGATTTCATTTGCTAGAAAATATGCAAAATAAAGTACACAATAAAGGACTGTTGAGAAAACAAAATTTCTGTGCATCTATGACTTCAGTATGAAACAGAACCCCTCTGCTCAACTGAACTTCTGGCTCAGGAGTCACACCCCAGGGCCCTGGCCTGCACTGGCCTGAACCATCTTGGAGAAGTAGGCTATCCAGGTAAGCAACAAGGCCTTTCCTTCTGCTCTCTTCACACCAAGGCAAGGCCAATGGTTTCTCACACTGCTCTCCATTGACCTCAAAACCTCTTAAGTAGATTACTCTTACTTTAACCACCAACTGCACTGTTCACTCCCCAGACCAGCTGGGCTCTCTTCATCCTCAAACTGTCCAGTAGTAAAACAAACTTTTCTTAACTGTGTCCTAAAACTCCTCAATTTCTACTTCCCTTCTAGCCTGCTTCAAGCTATGGTTTGAAATGGTTTGGCATTCCCAAGGGATCACATGATTGGAGTTTTGGACCAGGGATGGCAGTATGGCAAGGTGCTGTAGCTCCTGTAAAGCTTGAGCCCTTGGGGGGCTCTGCCCTCAAAAAGGTATGAAGATATTTTTCTTTTGAACCTTTGCATTCTCACAAGCAACCTGGCCCCACCCTCTCTCTGCTTCCTCACTGGTGATTGGATCCTTCCTCCATACATGCTCTGTCATTGGCCTTCCTGGACCTATGCTGTGTGGACATGCAGCCTCCCAAACAGAAAACTAAATCTCTTTTCTTTTCTAAACCTTTTTCTTTACTAAGTTGCTGCCTCACTATTATGGTGTTCAAAAGGTAACTAATACAATGACTGATACACAATCCCAAGTTGGCATCCCTAGAATTTCCACAATAAGCACCACACTTAAGATACATTACAGGTTCCCAAGTTTTGGATTTTTCCGCACCATAAGTTACCTCTATTAATAAATTACAAACAAGTCAGGTGCCAGTGGCTCACACCTATAATCCTAGCTACTCAGGAGGCTGAGATTTGAAGATTGTGGTTCAAAGCCAGCCCAGGCAGGAAAAGCCATGAAACTCTTATCTCCAATAAACCACCAGAAAACTGGAAGTGGCACTGTGGCTCAAGGGGTAGAGTGCTAGCCTTGAGCTGAGGAGCTGAGGGATAGCGCTCAGGCCCAGAGTTCAAGCCCCATGACCAACAAAAAAATAAATAAATTACAAACAGATTAAAAAGTGTACAAGAACCTATACACCAGATACATAAGGTTGAATGCCATGGCCCTTTCCTTCCAGAAGTTGTCACAGCCTGTGAGGGGAAACACACATATACGTGCATACATGCCCATGCACATATTTGTACACACACATCTAGACTCACACTAACTAGCATGTGTCACTAAGTCCAGAGAAGTGATGAGTCCTGAGGGCTGAAGAGGCTACACATAAGGCTTGTCAGACGATACTATGTCCTAGCTAGACAAAATGACTTGACAAAAAACGAATGCAACACTGCCACAGGAACTGAGCAGAGTCTTGACAGAAATTACTAGCAGGTACAACAGCAGAGCCAGAGCACTCAGGAGGCTGAGACAAGACGATCATTGAGTATGAGGTTAACCTGGGCTACTTAGCAAGACCCTGTCTAAAACACCAAAAACTTAGAATGTAGCTCAGTGGCAAAGTACTTGTCTAGAATGCAAAAGGTCCTAGTCAAAAAAAGAAAAAAAAAAAAAAAAGAGCAACAGAACTAGAGTGGAGCTTTAGGTGAATTAAATTTAGTCTGTACAGAGCATAAAGAAAAGGAATGGAACACAGAGAGGCAAAAGATGACCACAAAAGATGTTTAAGGAACCACAAGTAGATGATGGTCATTCATAGAGCCAATGGGGGTCAGTTCTGGGTGACGCTAACTACAAGTTAACAACAGCAAGCCTCATAAACTGATTGTGGTCAAGAGGCTTCGGACAATTAGAAGCAGAGATGGAAATGTCCACTCACTTGTTCAGGTTCCACATGGCAGAACATGGATATTTTCTCTTTCACAGATGTGTCAAGAGGATTTGAGCACCTGCACACGACCTGCAGTAAAAATAAATAAGAGGAAGGGTTACCAAACTCGGCTTTTTCCTGACTGAATTAAAACAAATAGACCTAATATTGTGAAGCTGAACAAAAATGCTAGCTCCCAGAATAAGGCACACAATCAATGAAAATATTACCTATTATCAGAGCAGAGGAAGACCCTAAATGGATGCCAATACAAATTAAAGAAGTGGGTGAGTGACCTGCAGGAGCCAACTATGCATTTCCCAGTTTCTGAATGTTTTTACAGAAGCAAAAAGGGGAAAGCACTAAATCTATTTTCTCTACCATCAACAGCATAAAAGCCTGGCTAGAAGACTAAGGTCCTTCCTGTCATGAAGTGTGACTTCAACTTTCACAATGAAAGCAAGCAATCAGAAAATCTTACCAGGTCTGGGGAAAGTCCAAGCCCTCGAAGTTCCCGAACACTGTTCTGGGTGGGTTTTGTCTTCTGTTCCCCAGTTGAACTTGGCTATTGTACCAAAGGAAGGAAGGAGGAAATGAGGGAGGGAAGGAAGGAAGGAAGGAGGGAGGGAGGGAGGGAGGGAGGCAGGGAGCAAGGGAGGGAGGGAGCAAGGGAGGGAGGGAGGGAAGGAAAGGAAGGGTTAATTTTTCTATAACAGGATAGTGGGGGCAAAACAAACAGCACATCAACAAGTGGATGTGGCTCTATTTCCATAAAATCTTACTAAAACAGGCAGTAGGTAGCCTCAGCCCCTAGGCCACAGTTTGCTGACCCCAGGGGTTCAGGTAACACTTCCTCCCTCATGTCTCGGTTCTTATTTTCTGGAAATCCAATTGTTCAGATATTAGCTCTTTCTTTCTTTCCTTTCTTTCTTTCTTGTTCTCCTTTTCTCTCCTCCTTTCAGTCCTTTGGTCTCTGCCCTACTTTCCTCAACTTTCTTCCTTTAACTTTGTTTTCACCTTTATTACCCGATTCTTAACCTCCAAGAATTCTTCCCTGTCTTATGTTCCCTTCAAGAGCACTTGTTTCTTGTTTAACACATGTAGTTTATCTCCCTTAATCCACTTCAAAGCAAACTAGAAGCTCTGTATGAGGGGAAGAGGAGGATCACTGTGGGTACTACAGTGCTGTCCATTTCACTAAGCTGGTCATACATCAAAGGAGACTTTTATCTCTCATGTGGAAGGACCAAGCCTGGCTATGATCACATTGAGAACCAAGAAGAAGAAGGCAAGGTGTCTTCGCAGCATAATGTGTCTATAGTTCAGCATCACTGCCCTCAATTGTTCCCAGTGTTGGGCCATTTGTCCCAAACCCTCCATAGGGCTAATGTGCACATTAGCAAGGGTGTGTCAGTCAGATCTACCTCTTCTGAAAGAACAACTACAATGGCAGGCCCTACCCTCACCCCACTACCTAGTGGCACTAACCCTGAGCCTGTGAAGGTTCTGCAGAGCCAAAAGGGCAACTTCTTTGCTTCCCAGACTACAAAATTAGTTAGCATTCCCAGGCCTGCTAGGCCAGTTGCTTCCTGTGCACGTGCTTTCTGGATTTTTTTGTTCATGTTGTTTTTTCCTAAGTTTTACTACGGTTTGAACTACAAGTACTATTACTAGATAATAAATAAAAATCAACTTCTCGGGGCTGGGAAGGTGGCTCAGTGGTAGAGTGCATGCCTGAGGCCCTGGGTTCGATTCCCCAGCACCACATAAGCAAAAAGGAAAAAAGCTGGAAGTGGCGCTGTGGCTCAAGTGGTAGAGCGCTAGCCTTGAGCTGAAGAGCTGAGGGACAGCGCCCAGGCCCAGAGTTCAGGCCACATGACCAGACCAAAAAAAAAAAAAAATCAACTTCTCAAAGCCAGTAGCTCATGCCTGTAATCCTAGCTACCCAGGAGGCTGAGATCTGAGGATCACAGTTCAAAAAGCCAGCCCAGGCAAGAAAGTCTGTGAGACTTTTATCTCCAATAAACCACTAGAAAACCAGAAGTGGCTCCGTGGCTCAAGCCGTAGAGTGCTCACCTTGAGCTGAAGAGCGCAAGGACAGTGCCCAAGCCCAGAGTTCAAGCCCCACAACCAACCAAAAAAAAAAAAAAATCAACCTCTCATCTCCCAAAGTCAAACTTACCTTAAGTCAAAATGCCTCACCTGAGGAACTAGACTGACGTGGATATTGCAAAAGTTCTCCCTCTTGACCTTGAACTGAAACTGGCGGAAGGCCTCGATAAAGGGCATGCTCTCAATGTCTCCCACTGTCCCACCAAGCTAGAACAGAAGTACCATGTTAGAGGTCAAGCACCTTCCCCTGGTTGTTTCCTCCTCTCGTATCTGCTCTGTGTCAACTATGTGAGCAGTAACTGTCAATGCACATCCCTCCCGAAGAATGTCAGTCACTAGCCACTTCTTTGGGCTGAAGATGACTCTTTGGATAGGCTCACAATTCTCTTACGATCTTGCCATGGCATTTCAAGAGAAAGGTCAACGAGAAAGAGCCACAAAGAAAAAAAATCTAGGCTTATCTCCTTAGTTTACTATACTTTTCCTATTAAAAAGCATCAGTTATAAACAAACTACTGGAACTTTCGATTTTTCCAATTTTGAAAGAACACTGAAATCCAGCAGCTGGGATCAGCAGAGAGGAAAAGGAAAAGGGAAACAAAGGAAGCCCATTCAGGGATGACTGTTCTGCCAAGAGGAAAGCAAAGGTCTGGCTAGGCATAGTGATGCACAACTATAATTCCAACACTCAGGAGGAAAAAGGATCTCAAATTCCAGGATAGCCTAGGCTACACAGCAAGACCCAATCTCAAAAAGAAAAAATAAGTAAAAATCAGTAAAGACAAGAAAGCAAAGGTCAGCCATCCCCAAGAGAAGGATGAAAATGTGTCTTGTCACTACTGCTGGCAGTCAGAGCTGAATGAATCCATACATGTTGGAAAAAGAGCATCAACTGCATGAGAACTGCTTTCCTCCGTGTGCCCTTCTCCATGCCCTTCTGCCATGAGAAGCATGCTACAGACAGAAAAGTCAAGAGCTTATCGGGGGATGGTCCCACCAGGCATTATGGCCAACTAAGGAAGAGGAATGAGTGCAACTGTTCACATACTTGGAAATCACACAAACCTCAATAACACAGACTTGAGGCTCTAGACCATCTTCATCCACAGGTATTAGTGCCTGCCTCATCACCCATTCTTGGATCGCATCTGTGATGTGAGGGACAACTGCAGGAGAGAGAAGAAACTATAACTTACTTTTGGGCAGCATTCACTGAGGTACGTATACTTGGTTTTAAACTGCTACACTCAACCTAGACAGAGTAGCAACTGGGTCATAAAAATACCTGGGAGGCATCCATTAAATGGCCTCAACAAATACCTGGGTCACACTTCCTTCTCTCAGATTTCTAAATTGTGGCCAGAAGCAATAGAAGGGAACAAAGTTGAGAGAGACGCCTGAACCACCTTGAAGCACACAGACATGAAAGACCACATGGCCACACTGCTACTGCTACTCACAGTCCAGGCTGGAGGTGGGCACATCACACCTGAGTGCCTTTCCAGCACCCTGGCCTGATCTGTTTCCAAGTCACTGATGCATAGGCAAGCCTTCAGGGCATAGCATCTGGGGCCTAGATGCAAATCTCAGTTCATTGAATCACTGTCCCAATTACTTACCTTTATTTTGGTGCCAGTACTAGGGCTTGAACTTAGGGTATCAAAATCTTGCTTGGCTTTTTTTCCGCTCAAGGCTGGTGTTTTACCACTTCAGCCACACCTCTATACTTCTTGCTTTTTGGTGGTTAATTGGAGACATGAATCTCATAGAGGGCTGGGAAGGTGGCTCAGTGGTAGAGCACTTGCCTTGCATGCATGAGGCCCTGGGTTCGATTCCTCAGCACCACATAAGCAGAAAAAAAAAAGCTGGAAGTGGTGCTGTGGCTCAAGTGGTAGAGTGCTAGCCTTGAGCTGAAGAGCTGAGGGACAGTGCCCAGGCCCAGAGTTCAGGCCCAACGACCGGACCCAAAAAAAAAAAAAAAAAAGAGTCTCATAGATTCCCCTGCCTAGGCTGGCTTCAGACTGTAATTCTCAGATCTCAGCTTCTTGAATAGGTAGGATTACAGGCATGAGCCAGCAGCATCTGGTTACTTATTCTTAAGCCTAGTTTCTCTATCTGCTAAGTGGAGGTAACAGGTCCTACTTTATCAAGTGGTAAAAATGTTTGCCAATACCCTAGCATACCAGAGCTCAATAAATGCCAACTACTGCCAAACACTCAAAACTCATAGTTGTTAGGCTCAGACTACAAGTTCCTAAGAAACAAAGACTTTTTTTTTGTTGGTCATGGGGCTTGAATTCAGGGCCTGAGCACTGTCCCTGAGCTTTTTGCTCAAGGCTCTACCACTTAGAGCCACAGCTCCACTTCTGGTTTTCTGGTGGTTAACTGGAGGTAAGAGTCTCACAGGTTTTCCTGCGCTGGCTGACTCTGAACCATGATCCTCAGATCTCAGTCTCCTGAGTAGCTAGGATTACAGGCATGAGCCACCAGTGCCTGGCCAACAACAATATTTTAATTTCAGTAATCTGGATTTGCACAGTAGTAGCTGGTACACAGGATTTATTGTCTAATCCATACACAGCAGTCAAAGTGATCTTTCAAGACTGCAAATCAGAATTCATGATTCCTGTATTTACCTTCTCTAGAGCTTCACAGCAGAGCCACATCCTAACTTCTGGCATGGTTCAGCAGGACTAACTAACCAACCTCTCTGACTGTCTCCTAGACCACTATGCCTCAACTATACAAGCCTTCCCTCCACTTGACCAACTGAAGCATCTGTGGCCTGTGTGGCCTCTGTGTTGCTGAGGCCCCTTTTCATGACTGGTTCCTCAGCTCAAATATCTTGCCTCATTCCATTTATTTCCTCCATCTTGTTTTTGTCTTTTGTTGGGGAGATGGGGCAGTGCTGGGGCTTAAACTCAGGGCCTTGCTTTTTTGCTTGGCTTTTTGGTTCAGGGCTGTTACTCTACCCCTTGAGCCATACCTCCATTCCACCATTTTTGCTGGTTAATTGGAAATAAGAACCTTCTTTGGCTGGGCACTAGTGGCTCACTTCTGTAATCCTAGCTATACTCAGGAGGCTGAGATCTGAGGATCTTGGTTCAAAGACAACCTTGGCAGAAAAGTCTTATTTCCAATTAACCACACATAAACTGGAAGTAGAACTATGGCTCCAAGTGGTAGAGTGCTAGCCTTGAACAAAAGAGCTCAGGGTCAGCTCCCAGGCCCTGAGTAGCTCCACAACCACAAAAAAAAAAAAACAAAAAACCTTCTTTCCTGGCAGGCTGCAGAACCTCTGATCCTCACATCTCAGCCTCCAGAGTAGAGAGTATTATAGGTATGGGCCACCCAAGCACATTTTAAGATTTTACTGACCCCTGCTTTCACTATATTTGATGTCGGTATAATTTGTGGAGGAGATGGGGAAAAACAAGTCGTTTAAGGATACAGGTGGACCCGTTGCAACTATGAGCAGTACAAGTTGTCATGTCGAAAACGAACTTTACAACTTTGGTGCAAGGGGTGGGGGGAGAGGCTGGGAAGGGATGTGAAGGGTAAACAAAGGAGGAGGCTGCAATGCTTGATAAGAAATGTACTCATTATCTTGCCCATGTAATTGTAACCCCTCTGTACAGTATGTTCACAAAAAATAAAAATTAAAATTAAAAAAATAAAATAAAATAAAAAAATTTAAAAAAAAAAGATTTTAAATCTGAAAGATAAATAAATTTGTATTACCTTGGACAGTTTTCCCCAAGTAATCTCCTTTTCGTTCCTTGTTAATGACATACTGATATATCTTCCCCGTGGTCAGATTATTGTCCTTGGTGAGGCGGATATCAAGGAATCGCTCATAGTTCCCCAGATCAAGGTCAACTTCACCACCATCATCCAGCACAAAAACTTCACCTGCAGTGAACAGTGAGTACAAAGAGGTGAGTCAAAGTTTACCATGGTATAACTAAGTCCTGAAATATAAACATCAACCCAGAACAAAGTCTGCATTAATTTGACACAAAGCAGAGAAATCTATTTTTACAAAGCTAAATATGTCATGAAAAAGAAAAATAACCAGGGCTGGGAATTGTGGCTTAGTGGTAGAGAGAATGCCTAACATGCATGAAACCCTGGGTTCGATTCCTCAGCACCACATAAACAGAAAAGCCAGAAGTGGTGCTGTGGCTCAAGTGATAAGAGTGCTAGCCTTATACAAAGGAAGCTCAGGGACAGTGGCCAGGCCCTGAGTTCAAGCCCCAGGACTGGCAAAAAAAAAAAAAGGAAAGAAAAGAAAATGACCAAACATCCTCCAAATCGAAACTTCATACTTCCAGCTAAAGTTCACTGTTTATCAGGAAGTTATAAAATACTATGGGATGAAGGGAAAGAATGCCAATCCTCAAGGGAATAAAAGCACTGCATAGAAAGATAGAGAAAGAGCTCTGTCTCCTTCCTGAGTAGAATAATGTCAGAAGCACAGTGCTATTCCAAACAACTATAATGTAGGCATAGAAAGGTAGTGTTGATTATAAAACCCTGCTTCTGAGCAACACTTTAGGTAAACAGAACTATGAAATGCCTGTTCCACATTCATTCCCTGCAACTTCATTTCAGTGATGTTGTCTAGAATGACTCATTTCTACCATCACAAGGGATAAGCTCAAAATCAGGATATTCTCCCCATCAGAGAGAGAACTCATCCTCTCCTCAAAAACTTTAAATCCAATCTCCCTCTGAGGGCTGGAGAAGAAGCACATGCCTAGCAGGCACAAGGCCCTGGATTCTTTCCCCAGTAGTGAAGGGGAAAAGAAGCAATTCCTCCAAAATAGGGACCTTTTCTTGAGACTGTTACAGGATTTCTGCAGTAGACACTTCTGTGTCCTTACAGATTTTTACAACATTACAGAGGAGGAATAACAGCATAGAACTTTGAACGTTACAGGTATAGCCAGGCACCAATGGCTCACACCTATAATCCTGTCACTCAGAAGGCTGAAATCTGAGGACTGTGGTTCAAAGCTAGTCCCATCTCCCATTAATCCCTGTAAAGGTAGAAGTGGAACTCTTGAGCTAAAAAGCTAAGAGACACTGCCAAAGCCCTGAGTTCAAGCTTGAACTTTTGTGTGTGTATGTGTAATGAGCAAAAAACAAAACAACAAACTTTTAAAGAAAAACTTAAAGGTATAAAGGGAGTTCTTTCTTAAAATTTATTAATTGGAGGGCGAGGATTCAGGCTGGCCTCGGAACTATCACCACCTTCCAAGTGCTGCGATTACAGGCTTACTCATTATACTCAGCTTGCAAGTTACGTTTTGTTGTTGTTGTTGTTTTTTGTAGGTCATGGTGCTTGAACTCAGGGCCTGGGCCCTGAGCTTTTTTGCTCAAGGCTAGTGCTCTACCACTTAGAGTCACAGGGCCACTTCTGGTTTGAGTGGTTAATTGGAGATAAGAGTCTCACGGGGACTTTTCTGCTCAGACTGGCTTTGAGCCTCAGATCTCAGCCTCCGGAGTAGCTAGGATTACAGGTGTAAGCCACTGACACCCAACTTAAGGACAAATTTAAGCAACGAATCTGAGATAACTCTGAGATAACTTGGGCACAGTCATTTGTCACACCATCAGTAAAAACTATTGTTGGAACACAGTTACAACAGCAATAAAATGCTATTTTCCTCTCCCTTACAGTTTCCACTTTTCAGTTACCTCAGATCCTCATTTGTACTATTCAGATTCTGGTAGTAAAACAGAATTCCCAACTTGCAGATACTCCAAATTTAGCAAATTTAGATGTCCAAATCTAGATTTGCTGCTTAAATCACTACAAAATGGTCCTTGACCTCTGCCTGGACACTTCTACCAAAGGCAGCACACAGCTTCTTGAAGCTGGTCAGCATGCTCTTGAAGGGTGCTTGCAATAACTGGGCCAAAATCCACTCTTTCACAACTCTCCACCCATACAATTTCTAATATGGGATCATGAAGAACAAACACATTCCCTTTTCTCAAATATTTGCTATCTTTTTTTGAAAAGAATTGACAAATTTTCAGCTATTACCAAAAGAAAAAAAAATCTATTATAAAAACCCCTAGACTCTAAGTATTAAGATTTTTTGTTTCTATCTAAGCAGTAGTTCACACCTATAATCCAAGCTACTCAAGCAGGCAGAGATAGGGAAGATCATGGTTTGAGGCCAGCTCAGGCCTCAAGTTATCTTAAATTATCCCCGCTGTGTGAGAAGCAAAAACAAGATTGTGGTCCACCTAGCCTAGGCACAAAAGCAAAACCCTACTCAAAAAATAAAGCTTAAAAGCCAGGCACCAGTGGCTCACATCTATAATCCTAGCTACTCAGGAGGCTGAGATCTGAGGATCGAGGTTCAAAGCCAGCCTGGGCAAGAAAGTTTATTATCTCTAATAAACCACCAGAAAACCAAAAGTGTCATTGTGGCTTAAATGATAGAGCACTAGCCTTGAGCTGAAGAGCTAAGGGACACACCCAGGCCTAGAGTGCAAGCCCCATGACCAACCAAAAACAAAACATAAAATAAAGCAAAAGGACGAGGGGCATTGCTCAAGTGGTAGAGCACCAGCCTAACAAGTGCAAGGCCCTTAGTTCAAACCCAGTAACATGAAAAAAAAAAATCTTACCTTGTGTTCAGGCAAATAAACAGTATCATTCTGCTACAAGGACTGTTTTAAAATGCAAGGAATGGAAAATAAATAAAACATACACCCATGAGTGCATATGTCATTCTACATAATTATTATTTAAGAAAATGAAAGAAAAAAGTTGGGCATAGTGGCACACATCTGTAATTCCAGCATTGGGGAGGCTAAGGCAGGAAGATCAAGAGTTTGAGGCCAGCCTGGACTACCTAGGAAGACCTAGTCTTAAAGAAAAAGAGACTTTGAAAAAGGGAAAGGGACAGGGAGTTCACTTACCGTGTTCATAAGGAGAAAAAGTTCCTGCATCAATGTTAATGTAGGGGTCAATTTTTATGGAAGTTACATGTAAGCCACATGATTTCAGTATTGTGCCCACACTGCTGGCAATAACTCCTTTTCCAATTCCTGATATAACTCCACCAGTAACCAGAATGTACTTCATTTTCCTTTGTGACCTGAAAGAAAGAGAAAGAGAGAGAGAGAGAGAGAAAATGTATCCCAACAAATCAAATAAGTGGGTTCAATGCTGACTCTGCCAATTACAGGCCATTACAGTGCATGCAGTGACTACAGAAGGTTCTTATCAAATTTAAAGATCATAAGACATTTATTGGTCCAATGAATGGCATTAATCAAATATGAAGAGAAAAGCAACTGTTACAAAATAATGCAGACATTGTATAAAGCTTTGACAATGGCCTTAAGAATCAAACAGCTCTAGCTGGCTGATAGAACACTAAGTCCCAATTATTGGCTGACATCACAGCCAGATACTGAGATACCAGGCAGGTACTCTATTATGTTCCCTACACGGGGGAAAAAAATTATATCTAGGCTTTGGTAGCTCACACTTGTAATCCTAACTACTCAGGAGGCTGAGCGCTAAGGATCACAGTTCAAAGCCACCACAGGTAGGAAAGTCCCTGAGACTCTTTTTTTTTTTTTTTTTTTTTTGGGGGGGGGGGTCAGTTATGGGCCTGGGCGCTGTCCCTCAGCTCTTCAGCTCAAGGTAGGCACTCTACTACTTAAGCCACAGCGCCACTTCCAGTTTTCTGGTGGTTAATTGGAGATGAGTTTCACGAACTTTCCTGCCCAGGCTGGCTTTGAACCGCAATCCTCAGATCTCAGCCTCCTGAATAGCTAGGATTACAGGCATGAGCCACCAGCCACCCAGCCCTGAAACTCTTATCTCTAATTAATCACCAAAATGCCAGAAGTAGAACTGCGACTCAAGTAGTTGAGCATCTATCTTGAGTGAAAAAGCTAAAGAACAGCACCCAAGCCCTGAGTTCAAGCCTTAGTACTAGCACCAAAAAAATAAAGCAATCTTGGAGAACCACTCCAATTCCCTGGCTTAAACCACAATGTATGCATGGGGAAATCTCAGTTCCTCTAATTAGAGAAAACAGACCAAAAAAAAAAGTTACAGGTAAACATACATGAAGAGCTACAGGTACACCTAAAATTCCTCCAATAATATGTTGTTCCCCTCTGCTATTTAGTAGCAATTAGCTTCTAGACAGTAATCTCTCCAGGTACCCAAGAAGGAACTACTCATAGGAGGAAAAGAACCTCAATAAATCAGTCAGAAGCTCACAATAAGCAGAGTAATTAAAGACAGAGACAACTAGATTGAGCCCATAGAGTAACAGTTAAGGTAGGGAGTAAAAGATACAGACTTCAGAAATAAGAAGCTTAGCACAGATGGCTGCTGCCTGTAATCCTAGCTACACCAGAGGCTGAGACCTAAGGATAGGGGTTCAAAGGCAACCCAGGCAGGAAAGTCTGTGAGACTCTTACTCCAATAAACTATCAAAACAAAACAAAACACCAGAATTAGAGCTGTGGCTCAAGTGGAAGATCTCTAGTCTTGAGCAAAAGCAGCTCAGGAACAGTACCCAAGCCAGCCTTGAATTCAAGCCCCAGGCCCCATAGAGGGGGGGGGGGGGAGGAGAGGAAGAGAGAAGAGAGAAGAGGGAGAGGTAAAGAAGGAAGGAGGGAGGGAGAGAGAGAGAAGGAAAGGAAGACACAGGACAGTAATCAGGAGGCAGGTTTAAACAAGCAATGACAGAAAGCGATCAATGATATTCTCATCAGGGAGGGGCCACCACTGCACCTCAGGTCAGAGGCACAGAAACATCAACTGATCTGCAAACCCAAATATGCCCAAATAAAGATGCAAGAGAAAGGGGCACTCTTTAGCACTGGGAGGCCATTTTCCTCCTCCAGGAATGTTCTCTGTGAAGCCAAATCATAACAAAAACAAACAAGAAAGGAACCAGGAAAAGGGAGTTCTGCCTGAAGCATTCCCTGGCTTCATTCCTCCTCCCTAAAGCAGGAATGAACACTGGGCAAGAAGAATGCTCAAAATGTGTTCCCCCTTCCAGCAAGGAGCACTGCCTGCCTCTTCCTAGCCTCCCCTGTAATTTCAAAAACATGTGCTCTGGTTTCTACAAAAGGCCACATGGGTTTCCTAAAAAGGGTTTTATGGACAGATAAATCAAAGAAATGCTGACTGAACAAAGTCACTTGGTTTTAGTACAAGACCTTTGAGAGGCTTAGTAAGTTAAATATGGACTGTGATCTCCCAAAAGGTATATACTATATGTAGCTTCTTCAGATGTTTTGACCCTAAGTAACTGTTATTTGGGGAAAAACACTACTGTCACCTCAGAGACAAATGGTTCCTACTGCCATTATTTAAAAAAAAAAAAAACTTCACTACAACTTTAGGTATGTCTTAACCAGATTCCCTTTATTGAAACTATATCCTGACTTTAGTCTCACTGAACACTTCTAAAAATCTCTCAGCCACCTTGAGTGGATTCAGAACAGATGACTCACCTCAATTGCTTTGTACCTGACTTGCCCCAGTTTTACTGTAAAAGGGTAGAACTCTCTTGGGGAGACACTTTTCTGTCAAGAAATTTCCCAACAGGGCAGGGAAGGTGGCTCAGTGGTAGAGTGCTTGCCTTGCATGCATGAGGCCCTGGGTTCCATTCCTCAGCAGAAGTGGCACTGTGGCTCAAGTGATAGAGCACTAGCATTGAGCTGAGGGACAGCACTCAGGCCCAGAGTTCAGGCTCCATGTCCGACCAAAAAAAAAAAAAGGAAGAGAGAGAAAGAAATATCCCAACAGCCACCAAAATCCAGTGGGAGAGGGTTCATCCCTGTCATTTATGGCTTACCTACTATGTGAGTTACATGCTGTGACCAAAAAAGTTGCCAGTGATAAAACATTATAAAACTCTATTTCAGTGATGATGGAGACGATCTATGAAGGCTAGAAAGAATAGAAAGCTTTCAGTGTCAAGATCTAGGTAAAGTACTAGGACCCAACAGAGAACAGAGCATGCCGGGGTGGGGGAGGATCCAAAAGCTCCTGACTTGACTTCTTGTGGGCTCTGAAGGGCAGGCTGACTGCCCATAGAAACAGGAAGAGAATGAACAAGCATGTAAACACAGAGGTGGGAAGGGTTGGTAGGAGGGAAGAGATAGGTGGTCTAGGGAGCTAACTCAAGTGCAAACTTGAATGCCCCACCTGAACTTTATTTTGAAGGTGTCCCAAGCCCAGAAGTATTATAAATCAAAATGCATCAGAAATTCACCAAAGATGGGGGGGGGGGGGGGAGGGGACGGGGAGTTTTCTTTAAAAAAAAAATAAAATCAAAGTTGTGTGATCAAGTTCCAGTTCCACCGCCAGTGTGCTGAGACCTCACTTTGGACCCCTGAGCCGCCTGACGCTGGGGTTGACATCGCAGGAAACTGAGATAAGAACGTCCGCACCGAGCACGTCACAAGGCGGTTGAGAACTCAAAATTACAATGATCGTGGACGTAAGAACGCCCACAGATGCAGACGTGGTGAACTGGAGAAGGCCGACATGCCCACACCAGCCAGACAGGGGCAGACCCGGATTGCCCATGTCGCGGGGCCCACCGATCCACAGGCCCTCTCCTCCTTTTGGAGGTCCGAGGGAACCGACCTGCCACCAGCCCATCCCCACTGGGGCGGGATGTGTGGGGCCCTGAAGTCCCTTCCAGGCAGGAGCCCAAAGGCTGAGGGCCCGCGCAGAGAAATGCAGCGGCGGCCTCCAGGCTTTTCCAGGACTAAGCTCAGGGGGGCTCCATGACTCTGCGGCCCTCTTCCTGCTACGGCCCACGAGGGGCTGACAGGCGCTACCAGGCGGCCCCACGACCCCCGCGGTTGTCCCAACCCAAGTCAGCCCCTCTCCCCTGCAGTGCCCAGCCACGCGGCCCGCGCGCGGGAGCCGGCACCTCGCGGGCCTGGACTGCCCGCCCCACTCCCGTTAGGCACGCAGCCCATTGGACTGGACGCCGGGCTCCTTAGCCCTTGATTGGCGGGGAGAGACGTCAGTCACCCCGGCGGCGGGGCCGTAAGCGTCGGGTTCGGCTTTGGCCGCGGACTCCAGCACAGAAGAGTGGTTTCTCCGGGATCCCAGATGTCAGCCTACCTGAGGCGGGCTTCGGATCCTCGAGTCAGCACCGGATCCAGGCCAGCACGCGCGCGGTGAGCACCCGGTAGCCAGTGCTCGGCCCGGCCGCGTGCGCCCGCAGTCTTTGTGGGAGGCGGGCTCTAGGCGGTGCGCACGCAGAGGGCGGGGCGGGGCGGGGTTCGAGTGCGCAGGCGTGGGGCGCCGCCCCTGCCAGGCTGGTTGTGGCTGCTCTGGTCGCGGTTTGGGGCCTAGCGGGTGGTCCTCGCTTCCTCTCAGGCTTCTGGCAGCCTTCGCCTCCTTCCCCTGTAGTTCCTGGGCGTCTTCTTTCCTGGAGACTGTCAGCGGGCCAGCCTCCCACAACTCTCTCCCCCTCCGGCCTCTGCACCCAGGGCGCCGCCCCCCTCCTCCGTCTGCCTCCCTTTCCCTACACATGAGAGGGGACGAGGGTCACAAGGCTAGTTTCATCCAGTCGACCTTTCCAGGGCATCCACTCTAAGCTGCACACTGTGCTGGACCCCAAGGGACGCTGTCCTTGGACTCAGGATCCGCTGTTCCACTTCATCAGTATTTTCATACGTTTCAGGTGGGAACTGACCCGAGCTATTGGGGTCATGGGTTCAGGAAGTCACCGAGAAATTAACTGAAGCCGAGGTGGAAGTTTACTGGCAAAAATTAGGTTGGTGAGGGAGAGGCAGGAAAAGAAAGGAGGCAGAAGAAAAGGTCTGTGTGTAGGCTGAGGCCCAGAACAGCCAGGCTGAGTGAAGAAAAAGCATCCTGGACATGTTGGCAGAATTATAGACTAAGTCGAGGGTTTTCTTTCTCTTGAAGATAGTGAGAAGCCATAGAAACTTTTTTTTTGCCAGTCCTGGGGCTTGAACTCAAAGCCTAGGAGCTGTCCCTGAGCTTTTTCTGCTCAAAGTTAACACTCTACCTCTTGAACACAGCACCACTTCCAGCTTTTTCTGAGTAGTTTATCAGAGATAAGTGCCTTACGCGCTTTCCTACCAGGGCTGGCTTTGAACCACAGTCCTCAGATCTCAGCCTCCTAAGTAGCTAGAATTACAGATGTGAGCCACCCCTTGACAGTTTCATTAGAAACACATGCACATAGTTAATTTTCCCCCTAAACACTACAGGAGTAAATCCATGAAAAGTCAGTTCCTTGCTCCTGAACCTCAGGTCAGTGATCTGCAATGTTATTCATGCTCAATAGTTCTGTGTGGGATCAAGCATTGGCATGCTTCCAGAAAGGGGCCATAAACATTTTAACTCTGCCCTCAAAGCACAAAAGTAGCCACAGATATATAAAGTATGGCTAATCACAAGAAACTGACTGGGTTCTAATAAAACTCTTCCTTATAGAATTACAAATTTGATCCACAGGTCATGGTTTGCTAGGCTCTGAGTGAAACAACTGGTCTGTTTTTCCCCCTGCCTCGTCCCCTTCCTTACAGGCCTTCCCTGGGAGCATTCCTCAGCCATCCACTAATGCGCTAACTCCATCTCAGGCTTTATTCCCAGGAGACAGGGTTCATGTCCTGTCCCTCAGTACACTGAATGCCTAACCGACCCTAAGGGGTTTACCACTGGGCTGACATTACCAGTGGTCTGTCTCCTCCACACCAGATTAGAATCTCTTTGAAGTTACATAACCTTTCCCTGCCTCAGTTCCCTTATCAGGTACAGCCTTCTGATCTTTTAATAAGCAGGATTCCCACATTTAATTCCTACTACCACCCTTTAATGCAAATGCTATCATTATATTGCTATATGACCAGTGATGAGGCTGAGACAAACATCCCACCTCTGGGCTGTCCTGAAATATAAACTATATTTTTTTCATTGAGCACATACAAAAGCCCTGCCAAGAAAACATCCAGCTTTTTCTGTGCTACCTCTCATTCATCACCAAACCTTGCCATCCCCTCACCAACGCTTCCTAGACTGATTTTTTTCTCTTTCATATTGATATATTGTCACCCCTGACACTTTTTGGTCACTTAAGGTGAGAAATGGAGCAGAAGTGGGGGCCACAATGATTTATAAATGTGTTGTATGTCTCATAGACCAAGGCTATTCTAAAATCAACTTACTTTATAATAAATATGTATTTGGCACCAAATTCAAAAGGTAACAAGATGGGGCTAGAAATGTGGCCTAGTGGTAGAGTGCGCTTACCTAGCATGCATGAAGCCCCCGGGTTCGGTTCTTCAGTACCACATACTCAAAAAAAGCTGGAAATGCCGGGCGCTGGTGGCTCACGCCTGTAATCCTAGCTACTCAGGGGCTGAGATCTGAGGATCGCGGTTCAAAGCCAGCCCGGGCAGGAGAGACCGTGAGACTCCTATCTCCAATAAACCACCAGAAAACCGGAAGTGGCGCTGTAGCTCAAGTGGAAGAGCGCTCAAGCGCTTGCCTTGAGCTAAAGAGCTGAGGGACAGCGCCCAGGCCCAGAGTTCAAGCCCCATGACGGACAAAAAAAAAGGTAACAAGGAAGACATAGTAAAAGGCTTCTTCCAGATTTAGCATCTCATATGCTTTATATATTGGGGTGTTTTGGGTTTTATGGAGGGTGGGGGGCACCTTGGTTTGTTGTTTTGTTTTTGTTTTCTTTGCCTGGCCTGGGAGCTGACCCTGAGCCTCTTTGTACTCAAGGCTAGCACTCTGCCACTTGAACAACAGCGCTTTTTCTGAGTAGTTTATTGGAGATAAGGGTATCACAGACTTTCCTGCCCAGGCTGGCTTCAAACTGAGATCCTAGATCTCAGCCTCCCGAGTAGCTAGGATTATAGGTGTGAGCCACCAATGCTTGATTATATATAGGTTGGGTTTTTTGGTTTTGTTTTTTTGTTTTGTTTTGTTTTTTGTAATCTCTTTTACTTATCTTTTTTTTGTTTGTTTGTTTGAACGCTGGGCCTGGGCACTTTCCCTCAGCTCTTCAGCTTAAGGCTAACACTCTACCATTTGAGCCATAGCGCCACTTCCAGCTTTTTCTGCTTTATGTGGTGCTGAGGAATGGAACCCAGGGCCTCCTGCATGGAAAGCAAGCACTCTACCACTGAGCCACTTTTCCAGCCCTTTTTTTTTTTTTTTCTTTTGCCCTGGGGCTTGAACTTAGGGCCTGGGCCTATGCCTCTTTGAGCTCAGGCTAATGATCTACCACTTGCACTTCCAGCATTTTCTTAGTTGTTCATTGGAATAAGAGTCTCACGGACTTTTCTGCCTGGGCTGGCTTCAAACCATGATCCTCAGATCTTAGCCTCCTGAGTAGCTAGGATTACAGGTGTGAGCCATCAGCACCTGGCCATATATTGTTTTTGTTGTTGTTGCTTTTTGTTTTGTGAGTTGGTTGTGGAGCTTGAACTCTGGACCCGGGTGCTGTCCCTCAGCTCTTCAGCTCAAGGCAAGTACTCTACCTTGAGCCACAGTGCCAATTCCAGCTTTCTGGTGGTTTATTGGAGATAAAAGAGTCTCACGGAGTTTCTTGCCCAGGCTGGCTTTGAACCAGGATCCTCAGATCTCAGCCTCCTGAGTAGCTAGGATTACAGTCATGAGCCACCAAAGCCTGGCTTATATATATATATTGTTTTAATATGACTGTTATATTGGAGTTTCCTTGCTTGAACTTTCATGTTATTTAATGAATTAGTTGGCAATATTTTCATTTTATTCAAGAAAGGATTTTAAGTTCTGTGTTGAGAGAGAGAGAGAAAATGAGGCAAAATAAATTAAGAGCCAGGCACTGGTTCATACTTATAATCCTATCTATTCAGAAGGCTGAGATCTGCTCCAAAGCCAGCCCAAGATGAAAAGTCCATGAGACTCTTATCTCCAGTTAATCAGAAGTAGAGTTGTGGCTCAAAGTGTCAGAGCACTAGTCTTGAACAAAAGAGCTCAGGGACAGCACCCAGGTTCGGAGTTCAAGCCCCATGACACTCTCACACTCACACACAAAAGGAACTATAGGGCTAGGAATGTAGCTGAGTGGTAGTGTGCTTGCATGAAGCCCTGGGTTCAGTACCACATAAACAGAAAAGGCTGAAAGAGGCTCTGTGGCTCAAGTGGTAGAGTGCTAGCCTTGAGCAAAAGAAACTCAGGGACTGTGCCCAGGCCCTGAGTTCAAGCCCCAGGACTGGAAAAAAAAAAAGACTCCATTGTCTGCGTTCAGGATAAAGTCATATACAAGCTGACTTAAGTTTATTTTTGTAGACACGCCACCAGGCTGTGTACTAACTAACCTCCCCAAACATGCCACTTACTCTCATCTGGATCCCGCGTAGACCCCTTCTGGCTTATTCTCCTGCCCTGTGCCAGTGTCACATCTCACGTTGGTCTCCAGTCCCCTAAAAGTAATTTTCTAGAGGACCTCCCTCCTCCAAGTTGATGTTAGTCTTCTCTCATAGTATTCTGTAGAATGAAGAGCTTACCAAATTCATGTGCGAGCGCGCATGCGCGCGCACTTCTGTCTGTGTGTGTGTGTGTGTGTGTGTGTGTGCGTGCATGTGCGCGCACGTGCATGCACGCGCGTGTACACATGTTGGTAATGGGGCTTGAATTCAGGCTTGGGTACTGTCCCTGAGCTTTTTCACTCAAGGCTATCACTCTACCACTTGAGCTACAGCTCCACTTCAATTGTTTTTGTTTTTGTTTTTGTGCTTAATTGGAGATGAGTCTTACAGACTTTTCTGCCCAGGCTGGCTTTGAACCATAATCCTCAGCTCTCAACCTCCTGAGTAGCTAGGGTTACAGGCCTGAGCCAATGGCACCCAGCTCCAAATTATCTCTTAATAATTCACTTCCTTGTCCCAATTCTCCACTATCTATAAGCTCTGTGGCATCAAGTATCTGGTTGTTTTATTTATTGCTTGTCTAGTATCTAACTGGTCCCAGCACACAGTAGGCTTTCAGCAAACATGTGTTCCACAAATAAATGAATTCAAGCATTATATCACAAATCTTTTATAGAGGGGAATCAAATTTAACTGACTTTCCTTAGCCAAAGTATAAAGTACCAATATAGAGAAAACTGTAGAGATCCCACAAGAAACAAGGTCCACAGTTAACCTTTTGTTGACCCCTCAGTTCACTCTCTGACACCCCTAAGTGCCTCCTATTTTTTCTGCTAACAGTTATCAAAATT